CCAAGGCCCAGATCCCCTGTGTTGGTGTCTCATTCGGTGTCGACCGTATCTTTTCCATCACCAAGGCCCGCCTTGAGCGTGAACAGAGCGCCCAGGCTCTGCGCAACAGCGAAGTCGATGTTTTCGTCATGGCCTTCGGCGGCAAGGGCTTCACCGGCATGCTGAAGGAGCGCATGAACGTTTGCCAGACTCTGTGGAACGCCGGTATCAAGGTAAGCTCCGGTTCTCGATTTGGCTTGTTGAGCCCTTTAAAAAAAAACAAAAAAAAAAAAAGGGAAAGCAAAAAAGAAAGTGCAGGCTAACCCTTAAAACAGGCCGAGTTCTCTTACAAGGTTAAGCCCAAGCTCCCACAACAATTCAAGGCCGCCGAACAAGGCGGCGTCCCCTTCGCTGTCATTTTGGGTGAGGACGAACTCGCCCAAGGCAAAGTCCGCGTCAAGGAGATGGGTCTCGAGGAAGGCCACCCTGAGAAGGAAGGTGTGCTGGTGGATCTCGCTACTCTCCCCGCCGAGGTAAACGCCCGTCTGGCGAGGAGGCAGGATCAAGCGTCCGCTGTCACACAACAGCTCGAGGGCCTCAATGTTGGTGCTTCGACAAACTAGATTTACAAAACAAGAAGATGAAAAAAGGAAATGACAATACCCGATTTGGATTACAATGTTTACTCCTTGTTTGGGGCTCGTAAGATGCAAAGTAGAATGTCTTTAGGAGTGTTTCAAGAGTTTTTTTTCATTCAGAATAATGTACATATTGCAGGCTTGACCTCGTACGATAGATTCTATACAAGGTCATATTTGAGATATAGGTGATACATGGGAAGGAGACAAATGATTAAAAGGGAGTAGTAAAGATACAGTGAGGGCCCCTCAACCACCCAATCAACCCTCGGCATTCTTCATCAAGAATCCCTTAACAAAAGGCAGCCGATCAATGATCTCCAAACCCAGACTGCGACCCCATGCAACAGGCCCCTGGCCCGGAACATTGTAAAGCTTGTGCAACATATCACAGACACCCCCGATCTTAGCATTAACAGCCCATCGTTCGGCGGTGTATCTCTCTAGAGAAAGAGTATCACCAATATCCATTCCATGGTCAACTGCGTATTCGATCGTCTTGGAGAGGGACGCCACATCGCCCATTCCAAGGTTGAGACCTTGTCCAGCGAGCGGGTGGATCACATGGGCGGCATCGCCGACTAGAGCCACGCGCGGCGAGATGTAGGTTGATGCATGTCGGAAGCGCAGCGGGAAAGCGGCCACACTGCCCTCCTGCACGCCGTTGACCATGGGCGGGGCGTGGGAGGCTGGCGGGGTATGTTGCAAACGCCAAGTCAGTTCGCTCTCGTGTGAATCCTCGTAGTCCGATGCAGAGGTCGCTGGGCGCTCCATGCGCATCATGTACTTGAGGTCGGTCATGGGTAGACGGAATGCAGCGTTAACCATGGCGATGAACGCTTTCGGGGAAAGAGACTTGAGATAGGCGGCGTTTTCTACCGTGGTGGACCACACTAATGTTGCGTGGTTGTTGGGGAGTGGTAGCAAAGCAACCGGGCCTCCGAGGGAGGGCAGGAAGCGCTGGTAGGCGGTTCTTGTGCCGATAGGGAATGCGACCTGATCCGGGTCGGCAAGGGAAAGAGTCGCGACGACGCCGTGGCGGTTATAGTCCCAGCCTTCGGTTGCGATGTCCGCGAACCGGCGGACAGGGCTGTTGATACCGTCCGCACCGACTAGTAGTCTTGCGGCGATCCGAGTCGGGGGTTGCGATTGTGCTGCGCCGGTTGGAGCGAGGGAGAGAACGGGCCAGGCTGATAGGTCCGGTCCGTCCGGGTGGTCCGTACCGTTTTCGATAGATGAGACGGTTGTGTTCGAGAAGATTGAGACATTCTCGTCTCCAGATGCTGCGATGCGCGACAGAAGTCCGCGGACGAGATTGGCGTTTTCCGTCATTGTCGCAACTGTGGGAAGATTTTCGAATGGGGATGAATCCGCGGACCAGTCGAAAGTTATGCGTGAATCTGTTTCGCCGTCCCATACTTGCATCTCCTGGTATTCTTGAGCTCGGTCGGTGTCAAGGTGTTCCCAGGCACCGATCTTCTGCAGGAACGACACGGAAGAGGGCGTTAGGCTGCTGACTCTGTTCGAGAATTGCTGTGAATCGAGGTTCCAGGCGCGAGCTTTTTGGAGATCCTGGGTCTCGACGAGGGCTACCCTGAGCTTGGATGTTAAGGGAGAAGCACCTATAGATATACATTAGTCTTCCGCGCGCCGATCTGAGTGAATTGGAAAGAGTTTGTAAAGAATGCCTTACGCAAAGCCGCCAGTAACCCTAGACCTGCTGGACCACCTCCGACACACACCACATCGTAGACATCGGGGGCCTGGTCCGGCTTGGACCCAAATCTTCTACGGCCCACAAAGCGGCCAGACCGACAAGAGGGGCAAACATAAGGTCGGAGTGCCGACCGAGTAATTGGCCGCATGATGGATATGCGTCTAGGTTCAGGAAACAATAAAGTTGGATGTTCGGAGAAGGCAGTCGGCGATATGGGGTGACGATGTGCAAACAACGCAAACAGAAATCTTTCTACAGATGGCACATCTCTAATGCGCAGAGATAATCTTTCACCATGTTGGAAATCGATATCTATGCATAATTACTGTATACGGCATACTACCAGCCTATAACGCATGAATATACAGCTAATAGCACATACGGGCTCATTTACGAGCGGGCTCCTGATATAGTGGGATGCAACGAACATATCTAGGGTTCAGTGGCTTCCGGTGTACCGCCTGCCTGAAGAAAACATTCTGCCTGCCCTGACTAGGCGGTATATGCACGAATCTTATGGCATATCAAATCAGTTATCGTTTTCAAATTCTATGAAGAAAGAATATGGCGACATTAATATTAGCCTAGCAGCTATGGAGTAGTATAAGAAGTCACGATATCAGGTCTTGACATATCTGGACAACTTATCTTACTTCTCATCTCCTGAAACCAAATGCGGAACCGAGTGATAATATGCCTGCCAAGTCAAACAAGTGCATTATTGCAATTTCAGACAAAGTGCACAGGCTTTCAGTGTCGCTTTATAGATCCGTTAGTGTCAGGACTGAGTATTGATTTCCTAGAACACCACCAACGTCAGCTACACAACAATGAGCATGCCCACAGCCGCTTTATGCCTGGTAGAATGAACTCATTACTGTGAACTGGTCCTATTCAATCTTTTGACAACTTCTTAGTTTTATCGATCGCCTTTATCTGGAATAATTTTGCAAAATTCCTGGGCCATGACTGGTGGATATTGCTGCCGTATGTCTTCTACTGCAATTCATCAATGAAGATGGGTATTTAGTGTCCTACGCATAGTAACCATCTTAAAATTCGAGTATATTTTGATCGTCAAGTGGCTTGACAATTCGGTGTTATTAAATCCTGTCACAGGGTCAGCTAATATAGAATTGGGCCATGACATTCTTGTTGATAGCGCTATATAGTACAAAGTAAATCCAAGACATGATTAACGGTACCTTCTCTCAACCCTAAATGACTACATCCCGTGTCGATCATACCCCTCAACGACACTCAAGTAAGATCGGCTTCCCTCCCTGAAGATGTAATCACCCCCGCATCAATGAGGTCCAACATACATTGACAAACGCCGGCAGGACAAGGCCACTGTAACCGTCTGCCACCTGAACATCTATCCCGGCGCGACGCCATGTTCCCCTCCTATGAACCCATTCCTGATATATGCTTCGGGGAATAAGCCAAAACCACGGATGACTATATCAAAACGAGCTATAAAAGAGCGTTGCAGGTGCCCTGGCCGATTGTGTCCAAATGGAGTACGTTACATCTATATTTCTTGGCAAACACATCCCTCCAGAAGTATGACCGATCATTTCCGTTCAGTTGAAGCTAATTGTATGTATGTATGTATGTATGTATGTATGTGCTATACCTTTCTAGACCGGCTACTCAAGATGCACCACTACTACTGCACACATCACCACATCGAAGCGAGCTTACGTTGGATAGCTACCACGGATATCAATTGGGTTGGGGCTGACTGCATATCGCCCGAAACCTAGAGGATCTTGAGGTAGAAGTGGCACGAGACTGGTGGAGCTGTCATTCACTGGATAAGAGCATTGTGCGTCTTACTGGGCTGTCAAAGGGGGGTCTTTAATTTGAGTTATCCTGATGGGAGCCATTTGTGGAAACACACCCCCGGGCATGTATGAAACATTAGCATGTACTCTAGCCCAAGAATGCCGTCTGCAGAGAAGGCTGAAACAAACCCCTTTGTGCAACCCCTCAGTTGAAGAATGTGCCACCCGGTTATAAATAGCACCCATGTTCTACAGCAGAAGTGATAGTGATAGTGAGTACTTTCTGAGTAAGAAATGTAAGATATCGCGTTGAAAACAAGGGCGTGATGCAAATAGGTCTAGTGGATGCTATATATAGATTGAATCCACCACCCAAAAAACCCCCCCCGGCGAGGGATGGTTCAGGGTAAAAATCCCAAAGTTCCCCTCGGATTAGGTGACAGTCAGAAGTAGGATCAAAAAGCATAGACTAGTCCGATATTAATTTAAAATCATGGCGGATGTTCTGCAAACGGCCCTGTTAACCTTCCGCTGCACAATGTCCAATATTAAATATTTAATAAATATCGAAGAAAAAAATAAGATAGAATGAAATAAAAGACTCCCATTCTTCAAGTTCATTCCCTTTGCCACGTAATCGCCCATTCTCCTCAGGTGATTGATGCCTATTTCCATCTATACACAGCCTCAATACTTGACGCCCCAAACATGCATGACCCTCACTGATTGAACTGCCCTTCCACCACCAATTCGATTCATCAGCCAACCAACCTCGCCTTCATAAGCGGAGAACTAACGACGACAACCTACACAAATCAATAAACTTCAGAAAAAGAAAAGAAAGAAAGAAAGAAGGGGAAAAGAAAAGGGCAAAAAATGACATCCACTACTTCCACAACGACAACCAAAAAGAACAAGAATACTCCAGCAGAAACAGCTCTGGACCTCAGCGCCAACTTCGCCAACAACCGCAAAGGCGCCGTGGGCTATGACCACGAGGTCTACCTCCAATTAACGGCGGGGAGGAACGCTGAGAAGACGCCGAATCAGGTGTATAGGGAGGTAGGTCGATTGCTTTTTTTTTTGCCCTTGTCTTTTTCCCTTTCTATTCTTCTCCGAAGGCAGGATGCTATCATCTACGATATGACATGTCCCCTCATGGATTGAAATTGTGTTTTCTTGAATAGGAACGTGTTCGGCAGAGGACTACGAGGGCTTTGGATCCGGCGATTTTGGATCCGCAGGGGGAACCTGGGCCTGTGGATTTTGAGTGTGCGGAGCACGAAGGGGTGAAGGAGCGGTTGAGGTAATTCGATTCGGGCTTCTGCATTGCATTACTGCTGCTTCTTCTAAAGGGGTTGCTGCGATTGGTTTATGGTATCTGCAAGGAAGATAAAGCTATCATGCCGGGTTGTAAGCTACGACAACGTAAACTGTTATGGAACAGTGGCAGAGTGACCGTGAAAAGGAGTACCGGGTAGAGGGAATAGATCGAAGCTGACAAGAGGGGGCGCAAATAAGAAAGAAAAAAAAATAAATAAATCACTCGTTCATGTCACATCAAGTATATCATCCACGCACTCATCGTGTTGCAATACTCTCCCGTGGGGCGGACGCTTCGTGATTCTCATCTAAATCACCTTCCATCTCCGCGACAAACCTCTCCCATGTATTCAACACTCCTTGGTAGAAGTCAATATGCTTCTCGGCCAGCGCGCCGAGAGTGTCCCGGAATTCAGCCGCCTTGATCCGTTCGAAATCCGCAACTTCACGGACAACCTCTTCATCGAACATCTCTGACGTGGTCTTAGCAGATTCTACTTCGCGAGTCAGCTCGTCGATGCGCAGCTCTAATTTCCGGACCCGCTCCCGGCGTGACTGCTCATGGTCGACACCACGCATATCTTCCATCTTGGAGCGGATGAAGGACGCAGGCGATGAGGTCAGGGGGTTAGAGGCATAGTAGGATGATGGGTTGGTAGCGAGCGAATCGCGCTCGCTCACGGCTTTGTTGCGGTAGTCCACTAAGGCTTCAAAGTCGAGTTGCTTCTGCTCACGGGTTTTCAGAAGTGCCTTAAGAGACACGATGTAGGCCTCCATATCCCGGAGGGAGCCAAGGTAGTTCTGATCCGTGTGGTCTTTGAGACCTTTAAGCCCGCGTCCCGTCTCTTCCACCGACGCCGCGAATACCTGTAGGGGAACTTCAACATTCGGCTCCAGAGACACCAGTTTGCGGAATTGCGTCGCGAGGTCATTGTAGTCGGTCTCCAAATCGGACTCGCGCCGAGCGACCCTGGCGACGATCTTCTCTACGTGATTGAGGTCTTCATCCAATTTATCTGCCTTCTCCCGAACCTCAATGAACCGGCGATCGGGCTTGTGGACTTTTGTAAACGCATTTACGAAAGTATCGGTAAAGTTGTCAAAAATCCCTGGGGTGCCGGTGGTGTCCGTCGGATTGGTGGATGTGCGAGAGGTGTGAAGCCGCATATGCGCATTCCAGTCGGGAGATTCTAAAAAGATAGCAAGCAAAGGAGCCCGGCGGAGCACCGGATGCAATGCCAAGCGTTTTAGGAATCGATGTAGCGACCAGGCACGTCGTGTAGTAAATTCGGGTCCGAACCGATCCCCTCGCACGTATTCCATCTTATGCTTGTCTGGTAGAGGTGGGACCGCGCAGGCAGGATACTCACGATAGAGCGTCTTATATAAAAAGAAGAAATCCGTAAAGCGTCTGCGCACTGCAAATTCTGACCTCTGGAAGGACTTGAAATCGGTCTGCGATGCCCCTTTGGTCAGTACAGTGAACTGTTTGCTGGGCAACCGAGGATGGATCTCCGGTCTGCCATGGAAAAGCCGGAGCCAACTCCCGGGGAAACAGGGCAACTCACTTGTGTTGTAACCAAGTAAGAGATATATGCGTCTTTGGTACCGTCGTTCTCTTTCAGTGGTGAATCCACCCGACATTCCAACACCCCATCTCCGATACCTGCTAGGTCGACCGCATCCGCCAGTGGCCCAGCTTGTGGGTTTTCGTGAGCTGAGCTCATTCTCCGTTTGCCATTGGCATCGTGACTGATTGCAGGCGACTCTTCGGCATCAGTGCCCGAAGTGGTTGGACGAGAGATATCGCTCTCTGGTTCGTGTCTCCAAGAGACATTGTCAAAGTCATCGTGCTGATCCATCGAGGGGTTGCCGTTAGGGAAGCGGCAACTTAGCACCGGTAATTGTACAAGCCAAAAGAGACTCGTAAACAATTTATATCACTGGAGAGACTCGATAGAGAGGAACTCGGGATATGAGGAGTTATGGCTGATGGTCGTAGATCGATAAATGAGAGGTTGAGAAGTTGCGGAGGCAGCAGTGGAGCAGTCAATTGGAGAAGCGGCCGCACAGCGTCATCGGCCCAAGCGCCAAGACTAGCTTATCCAGCAACTTCCTACGTAGTATCAACCCCCATCCACTTTTTAGCGCGCGTTGCAACAGTTACGATGGCCTGACTCCGTATGTATGTCCTTTATGCGTCTATTTTGTCAAGTAAGTCAAAGTTATATACAGCAGCCTTCGTTCAACATCAATAATCCACAAGATCCGTAACGCATCCCATCTGGTATACCCGAAACGCGCCGCAAGAGGACCATTATGGGATAGAAGTAAATGCAAGTCTAGTCCAATCTATACTATGACCGAGCATGGTCACCACTTGTGCTCCCTCGCCGTTCGCGCTCCTCACTGAGGCCATGATCCCGATAAGGTTCATCCTCATCGTCGCTAAACAAAGGCTCTTCGTCACTTTCCCCAGCGAAGGCATTGTAAAGCTCACCTCCCCGGCGTTGTGTACGACCCGAACGCCCGTTCATAGCCTGCGTTTCATCCTCATCTTCTATCATTTCGAAATCGTAGTCATCACGAGGATCATTACGCTGGCGCTTTCGTCGCTGTACTTGGAAGTAGACCCCAAGTCCAATACAGAACACAATGATCGAACCGATCGCAGCGTAAATCCAAGCCTGAGTCCGTTTAGACGCACCGAACGTGGGGAAGAAGGAAGGCAAAAAGCTATCCGCAGAGGAGGTAGTAGAAGGTGATTCCGTAGAAACGGGTTTCGTCGGGGTGGGAAGTTCAGATGTCTCTTGAGCAGGAGCCTCTGAAGGCGTCGTTGGTTGCGCGGATGGCTTTGCGTTCACAGGACGATCAACGGGATCAGTTGGGACAGATGGGTCTTCAGTCTTGGTTGGGACACGATCAACGCTAGTGGTAGCAACAATGGCATCTTCAATCGAATGGTCATCATCGTGCTCATCGGGCATAGGATGAAGGGGCTGGCTGGAGCCGTCAATGGAAAGTCCCCAGAGGTTGAGCCGCCAATCGATGAATTCTCCACTATGATCATTGACATTGGTATCCTTAACAATGACCGTCCACTTTCCAACACCGGACTCACCCCTAAATGGAAATGTTAGAGGGCCGAGTAAGAGAACTAAAGCACGGGGTCAACTACATACCAATGGGCCACAGTCATGAATGTCCAATCGTCATAGCCAGCCTTTGCATTATCTGACCGTCGCGCTGTACTCAGATGGCTGACGATACCCTCGGGGCTGCGCAACTCCACGCTGATATCGCCTCGGCGAGTGTGATTTACATTCATGGTCACAGTGACATGTTCCAACTTCTCGACATTGGCCTGGTACATCATATCCTTGGTAACTTCGTATGAGCTGGCAAGTCCCTGGTCACCTTGTGGGATTTCATGCTTCACCCGCAGCCACGGTGAGTGGAACCACGCCTGTGGTTTCACCAGCTCCCACGTCTTGGCCAGCTGGACCAGTGAATACGCGTCGACTTTCCCAAAACCCCAGTCATGGCTAAACTTCTTCCCCATCTTGGTAGTCTGCCAGCTCCCGTCGTCTTCGTGGACGGGAACTGCGGTCTCTATCATCAGGTACTGGGCGTCTCGCCAAGTAAGTTCCGGTCGGGCACTAAGAGCAAGGGCTATAGTACCCGCAGCTAGCGGACCTGCGGCAGAAGTTCCGCCGTGAAGTGAATAGCATTTATCAGTTCCGACGTCGGTGGTATGAATCGCGTCACTCGAGCCACTGCTATAAGCGACGACCAACTGGGCAGAGCATGATTCCGAGTAGCTGGGATGTTTACCCTCTCGATCAATAGCACCGACGGTAATGCTGTAAATGCTGTTCGTGTAACCATCGAAATTGCAGTTGTCATCATACCCTGCACCATTTCCAGCTGCAAAAACGAAGATAGAGCCTTTGCCTCCTCGGCCATTCTGGATGCCATTGACCATAGCTCGTTTGATAAGAATCCCTGGCGCCTCCATCGTGGCGCCATCATCCGGAGGGCCCCAAGAGCATGAATAAATATCATTGCGCTGAAAGCCAAAGTTGATGGCAGCGGCCTCATCTGCATCGTCAATGGGTGCGGATAAGATCCGAATTCCCGCAACTTGGCTGTCGTATGCAACGCCTATTCCACAAACATCGTTCCTAGCTGCTCCGATTTCACCAGCGCATCTTGTGCCATGCCTGTCATCACCAAGTCGCGGTCTGGGCTCCGGTACATGGTCGTTAAAATCGTAGGAGCCCTCAGCAAAGTAGTTCGGTTTGAGGTCATTGCTGTACATGTCTAGCCCGTCATCGACCACAGCCGTGATGACACCTTTTCCCGTGATACCTTCTAGCCAGACGTCCGAAACATTGAGGTCATGGCCGACTTGGACAGTATTGTAGAGATGCCACTGTCCGCCAAAGATGGGATCTGCAATCCCAAGTGAAGAGGCTATCCGTTTCTGAGCTTGGGCAGCTACGGGGTCCTCTTCTTTCACAGACGCCCTCGACACCACGTCTGCTGGAGGAGCCCTTTTTACTAGTCGCTGCTTCGGGGCTAACTTTTGAGACCAGAGTATACCGCTCAAATCTCTTTCCCTCGTATCCAATGTGTTGCCACGTCCTTCTCCGGCACGACTTGACCGTTTCCTGATACGTGCATGTTCGAGGAGCGCATCGAGGTCTGCACCGTTCTCCTTGGGTATAGAGAAGGTATGGTGTTGTGTGAGTTCCCCTACTTGGCCCTCGTGGCGTGCTCCGAGGCGCTGGGCGATCTCGTCTGGGGAAGTGGAGTCGTCAAGATGAAGAGCAAAGAAATCGCGCGTCTCGTAGGAGCGTCGAGGATGGGCTGATGCCGTCGCAGCGCTAAAAAGGCCGAGCGCTATCGTTGCACTTTCGGAAAGCCGCATTATGGGAGCAGCGTGAATCGAGATAGGCCCCTATCGGTAGTAGGGTGAGATGAGGACAAATAAGATAGTTGCCATCAATAAGAACAGTACCAGACTCTTCAGTAGATGGCTTGCGATGCAGTAAGCAACTTCAGGGAAAAGAATGCTATAGAGACAAGAAATAATGAATATACACAGCAAGGGGGGTATGAAATGGTTATGTATTCAATGAGCACTGCTCGGTGAAGTTGTTGCGGAGGCGGAGTTCGAGAATGGTGTTCACTTCGGGGAAACAGCGGAGCCTTCTGCCTTAGGCGACGAATCCATTGTTTAACTTTACATGATCTCCACTCCCTTAATTTTTAGTGCTCAGGCAGCATTCATCCAATGTTAAATATTGATTAGACGACATAGTCGAGAACATTATAGCCCCATATTTCAGCATTTCGGTTAGATGCACATTCTTGCCATATTTTAAAACGGACTGTATCTTTCTTATCAGCAGCTGAATCTCCACTCCTTACAGTGAAAACCCCTCAGACTTCCTGTGAAGGGATGACATAAAAAGTACTCCGTATACGAGGCTGTATCTAAACATGGACGGGAGCCAGTTACTAAGAACCTAGAGAAAGAGTTCAAAGAACTATTCAGCCCTGTTTTAGTGATCTCTATTCTTATTGTAACTTTTTACCCCGTCTATATTGCCTGTACAATAAGAATGAGATGACGAATACATACAATAGACTAATCAGCATTGTGAGAAAATTGAAATATGCTGCTCAAAAGAACCTACGTAATATCCATACGATACCCCCTTCGATGTGCTCTGTAATTTTCAAAATACCCTGACAGTCAGAGTTCCTTTGTATATCAACAGCTCAGCCCATTCACAACCATCAACTAGTAGTTGCTGCAAGAGGTACAGAGCAGTAATAAATCTACGGTCGATGTTGAAATAAGATTACTGGCCACTCCGCCAATTGGAGGATTTAGACGAAACATCCCATGATTGACTACTCAACAACAAGAATGCCATGATCTTCTTTACAATATTACTAAAACTGACGAGGTTAATACTCACACAGTGCATCCATGATTTGTCTACTGACCAGCGGGTGTGTTGCAACATAACTACAGCACTGCCACTATGAACTACTTGTGATACACGGTTTACTGGCACAGTACAATGGAGTTTTTTCGTCATCTTTTCTACCCAGGCACCCTTCCACGCCCCTAGTCTGGTTTTTCCTTCCGATTACGATTACAAGTTAAGTTCTTTTCTTAGAAAGGGGGACAAAATGGGCCAGTCGTGGTGCCTGGCGGGAACATGTTTAATGCAGGATGACTGACGAGTCAGCCCCGCATGGAAGATGCTGTGCTTGCCAGCCACCGACTTAATTCTCATTAGCCAGCACAATGAGATTAATTCGCTACTCCAATATAATCCTGTTGATTTTTCTGTCATCTCATGAATTTTTTTCATTCTTTCCGCCCCCTGGTCGAAATTGCGGTATTCAATCCTCTTACCTTCTTCTCATACCGTGCAAATCCATCATTGTTACAATCAATATACATCGCTTGTATACTACTCCGCAACTTCCAGCTCTGCAAATTAAGCGATGATCTATTCTTTCAGTGCCATCACCATGTATTAACACGAGCTGGTTTGGCCAAATCATCTGCTACTGTCACAAATTTGGATACGAATTGATTTTTTTTACGATCTTTATTGGTGTCGCTAATCTTTCTATTCCCCGCGCATTTGATTTTACCAGTGATAAAGTACAGAAGCTTTCTGGGCAGTGTCGTAAAGGATCCGAAAGCTTGGAAGAATGGCTGCAGCTAGTTCCCAGAGGCCGACTAATGGAGGCTCGATACCTCCCCAATCTGTCCCTCTGAATGGTGTACCACGCGCTCCATCGCACAGACGGCAGCAGTCTCACGGCATGACACCCAACGCATTGGATTACGAAACTGATAGTGATCAGACTTACGGATCCATCGATGTCCCACAGACTCGATCGAAACCTCACAAGAATAACCCTGCTGTGGTTCATGGTCATCAAACTTCTCGCTCGTTCTCCGCAAGGACGAAAGGTTTGTCCCGCGAAGGGCATCCAAACTGGAGGGAAAAGCCATTACCACCAGAGCCATATATCTCACCTGATGAGTACGCCACTTCACGGGGCAGCATGACTGAGTCTAGACTTTCTATGTCAAGTTCGGTGAAGCGGGATGATTCTCATATGGCACCACCACCTGGAGACAGTCACCAAACGCCGCTAAGTCGCTCTAACACGGTACGCTCCACGGCAGAGCAAAAGCATGATTGGGCGGCAGATCGGTCACCTCTTCAAAAGCTTGAAGTGGCACTGACTGGAATCAGCAAAGAAGAGAAGCGAGCGCGAGTCTTAGAAGCTGAGATGAGGGTGAAAGAGCGGATAGCACGTCAGCAAGCTGAAAACAACAATCGCACAGCGGTTCCAGTGCAATCTAACCAAGATAATGTACCACGAGATACTTCGAGCCCTCTGACGGAAGTTTCTCAGCGGACAGATCCTGAGCAGCCAGCTTTACCGCGTCAAAGACCGGCTCAAGGTCCTTCAGACAGAGCAAAACCCCCCACGCGCGAACGGCCTCGGTACAACATCCAGTGCCATTGCCCGCTAACGCGCCACAGTCTGCAAGAGGCTACCCCCAGAATACAGGAGTTGTCAGGACTGGCAATGCTCCTAGACGGTCTGTGTCCGTGAGCCACCCAGCAGGAAATGACGTTATGGGCTCGCAATCAATTAAACCAAACATGCCACGAGGGGTTAGCGGTCCTTACACTGCAGATACTTCCCAGGACCACCGGTATCCTGATCCTACTGCAGGAAAAACCCAATATCTGAGCCCTGCGGCGTCCGGGGCTAGACCAGTGCCGCAAGCTATACGAAGGAAAGAGGCCCCCACAGCGACTATTGGGCCCCAGCAAGCGGACCTGAAGGCCTACCCGACTGGGACTGGATCTACTGATAATGCTATGCCTGAACACTCCGATTCGAGTCGACAGCCAGGCGGGAATGCCGCAATGACATCTCAAAGTTTTGAGAGCGAACCTGCGTCACAGCCTAAACCCAAGCGGCAGACTGTTTCATTTGATGTCCCACCTCCAACTCCTCCACCTTTGTCGGAGTGGAAAACAGCACCAGTGGCAAGACTGGGTGCTTCTGACTTTGACTACCAGAATTTCGATGTCGATAAAAGTAAGGCGTGGTGGGAAGGTGGCGGAAGCAACAACCGCAGAAAGAGTAGGGCGCTGCCAATCAACTACCAGAGGCCACCAAACACTAAGCCATCGGGTAGGTCCTGCCCTTTGATATGCTCACCCAAGATTACAGATTCCCGGAACTGATACTAAGTGTGACATATAGTGAACAAGCGCTTCCAGCCACATCTGTTCCTTAAATGTGGTCCTTTACTCCGATACGGAGGGTTGAAGCGGGTGCGAATAGATGGACCCAATGGGGCATTCGATAAGGAGACTTGGAGAGGGAGTGTGTTGATTGTGACAAGGGATTCTCTCTCTTCATATGAGCCACCACCTACTTTAAGATTATTTCCTCAACCAATGGATCTGCTACCTCCTCCTCCGACTGAACTGAATGGAGAGGATTCTGAACTAGCCCCTGAGTATGTGGACCCGACAGCTGGACTTATGAAATTGGGGCGAGATGGTCGGCCTCTCTATGTTAAGCCAGTAGATCATACAGAAGAACAGCTGGACCTCTCTTGCATTGAAAATGACGATGGCATCTATGAGATGTCACCAAGCATCATTGACTACAGCACTGAGGGTATCAAGCAACCAATCCCTGCTAACAGAGTCCATTCTATGGATGGAGAAATTGCTGGATTCTATAAGGAGGTTGCAGGGGCCCGCCTCTACGCCGACCCAGGAAGAGATATCACTTTCTGGAGGTTTAATATTGAGATTGAATTAGGAAATACCCAGCAGCGGATTGCATATCGCCTCAACCAAGGGCCGGCTCTGGGATTCTGGGTGCCTGCTAGGGGACAGTCGATGAACATAATGTACCACACATGTAACGGCTTTGCCCCCGGCGTCGACTCTAACAAACTCTGTGGTCCAGACCCTCTGTGGCGAGACGTGCTCAATGAGCATCAGACTCGCCCATTCCATGTCATGATTGGTGGAGGAGACCAGATATTCAACGACAGGATTACAGTAGAATCATCCTTTTTCCAGGAATGGGTCAAGATGAAAGATATCCATGAGAAGTACGACACGCCGCTAAACATGGAGTTCAAAGCGGAATTGGAAAGTTCTTTTCTTGAGCACTATTCACGGTGGTTTTCACAGGGGCTTTACTCCCTTGCAAACTCGCAAATACCCATGGTTAACCTCTGGAATGACCATGAGATCATCGAAGGCTTCGGATCTTACCCCGATGAGTTCATGAGCACGCCCGTGATCTCAGGGCTTGGCAACATAGCATTCAAATACTACTTGCTATTCCAGCACCACAGCGTTCCGGAAGAGACCGAAGCAGATGAGCCTAGTTGGCTGCTTGGGGCTCTTCCTGGACCGTACATCAACCACCGAAGCCGCAATCTGTTCATGTCTCTAGGTGGTGGGGTGTCTCTCCTCGGCCTAGACTGCCGGACTGAACGCATGGTAAGACCACGGAACCTGCTTAGCAGCAGAAAAGCAGTGCTAACAGTATATTCTAGAACGACGAAGTGCTCAGCGAACAAACTTCTGATTTGATCTGGGACAGATGCCATCGTGAAATTGTCCGGGGCGAGACGAAGCACTTGCTAGTGCTGCTGAGTATTCCGGTTGCATATCCTAGGGTGGTATGTTACGAGCGCTATGATTCCAATTCTTTCCCTTCTAACCTTCTCACAGGCGATGGTGAAAAATATTCTAAACAGCCGGAAATCGCTCGGCAAAGCCGGGATTTTTGGCGGTTTTGTAAACAAGACAGGGGGCAAAATTGAAATCTTCGATGACCACTGGACTGCTAAGCACCACAAGTCCGAACGCCAATACTTGATCGAAGATCTTCAGGACTTGGCAGCAGACAAATCCGTCCGTGTGACCATTTTAAGGTAAGAAACTGTATTCTGCCATCCTCTAGGGCGGAACTAACAAACATCTTTTGTAGCGGCGATGTGCATTTGGCTGCCATTGGCCAATTATACTCGAACCCAAAATTGAACTTGCCTAAGGACAAAGACTATCGATACATGCCCAACATCATTTCCTCAGCTATTGCAGATATTCCCGAGACGGAGATGGTGTCAGACACGCTCAACAAACGGAATCGAGTTCACCATCTAGATACTAATACAGACGAAGACATGATCCCCATATTTACACATGATGTGAATAATAAGCCACGGAATAACAAACGGTTGCTACCACGCCGAAACTGGTGCTCCATCCGTGCGTATCAGCCAGGTCGGTTCTAGTCTCATTGGCTTATTGGCGCTTTTTTGTACGTTGCTAACTAGGCACAGGCTTTACACCACAGACCACACCGGAACCTGAATCGTCGCCGGTGGAGGAGCCTCGACCGGGCAAGTTGCAAAGGACACTGTCCTTGACGCGCGGAGACAGACCCCAGGGTAGCGGCGGCCTGTTACGCCGACTCTCGGGGCGTGGACGGCCACCGACTAAGGACTTTAACCTTGGAGGGAACCCAGTTGGGAGGCGTATGAGTATGGATGGCCCATTTCCTCCTGCGGAGACAGGCGATAGCTACTTTCCACCGCCCGCAAATTCCCGCCCAGCCCCATTCCTTCGACGGCCTACGAATCTGAGCCAGAAGGCATCTAAGAAGGCTGCAAAGCAGGGGGACGATGGGGTTGGCGCCTTCGTTAATTTAGAAGGGGGGTTGGCTATATCCTTGAACTTGGAATTAAACCCGAAAGACCCGTCTGGTATTACGACTCCATACAAGCTGCTCGTGCCGATGCTGCGGTACGAAGGGGATGAGTATGACCCCCCTGCGGCACCAGTTGCGAAGGGCTGGAAGCGGTGGTTGAGTGTACGGAGGAATAAAAGAGAAAAGCAGAATGTGGAGGACACCGAAGCTGAAGAAGGTTTCAGCGATGAGGACGAGGATGAGTACGACCAGCGCGAGAATTATGGACGCTCAGCGGGACGCGAACATGACTATGTTGCTGGTAGAGACGCGCCTCCGGAGACATTAGTTCCGGTTGCTAGTCCAGGCGAACTAGAGCACGATGGTGTTGCCGAAACCTCGAGAAGGAGGAAGTGGTTTGGCCGATGAGCTGATTGATAGCGGAGCGCGAAGCGCGAAGCTATTATTTTATATGATTTGATCTGATACGTTTATGACGATTGATGATGATGATGCTGACGATGACAATTATAATGATAATGAATGTAAGATCTATGAACTATTATTTGTATACAGTGGATACCCTCTGAATGTGATTGTGATGAGTCCTGTGCCTCGATTCTTGTTATCAGGTTCGAATATTGGGCTTTCAGATTCTGGATTCTGCCTGAATGCAGAGATTCCGGCGATTGATCCGAGATAAAGAAGTGATCGATAATCAGTGGCGGTCTCGGCCCGTGACTGCTTTCTAAGCACCGGCGCACGTGATCCGGTCTCGCCGTTGGCAATCCGGAATGTTTTCCCCTGTACCTGGTCGGAGAGAGAAAAGTCGCTTCCGTGGTTTTCTTGTGCAATTCCATTCTTTGTCATTCATCTGGTTTATTCATTGTCCCCACACGGATTCCAGGTAGGAAGCCAGTCTCTTGGTTTCGACCGTTTAGCTAATCTTGAACCATCCAGCCCTTTTTTCGTCAGGCCGTCCCCACCACCCGGCAATCTGAGCCCCTCCTTCGCCTCTTTCGCTGCGCTCTCCCTGAACGCCCATAATTAAAGGCCGCCTATTTCCCGACCCGACTTTCTTTCTTTCCCCTTCCCAATCTCCTTCCCAACACCGTCAAACTGTTTTCCTTCGCTTCTCGACGACTTCCCTTTTCCTCTCTTCGATCCTCGCTCGGATTGACTGCCGCTGCTGCCTCGTCGCTGCACCAGAAATCCTCCCCGTCCGCTTCAGTTCTATCAAATACTCTTTCGACGCCCCTGCGCGTCAGTCAAAGTTCGGCATCCAGGATGGTGCACACCAAGGTCGTTAGTGAGTTTTCCCTAGTTCTTGTATATAATGTTGCCCAGATCAGTTGGAGATACTAATTGGTACCCCCCGTAGTCATTGGCTCCGGCCCCGCCGCACACACCGCCGCGATCTATCTCTCTCGTGCGGAGCTCAAGCCTGTCCTCTATGAGGGTATGCTGGCTAACGGCACTGCCGCTGGTGGTCAGCTCACCACCACCACCGACATCGAGAACTTCCCCGGCTTCCCTGATGGTATCGGTGGTACAGAGTTGATGGAGAACATGCGCAAGCAGTCCGTCCGTTTCGGAACCGAGGTCATCACCGAGACTATCTCGAGAGTGGATTTCTCGCAGAGGCCGTTCAAGCTGTGGACAGAGTGGAACGATGGTCCTGACAATGAGCCCGCCCACACTGCCGATGCTATTATCATCGCCACTGGTGCCAATGCCCGTCGTCTCGACCTGCCCGGTGAGGACAAGTACTGGCAGAACGGAATCAGCGCCTGTGCCGTCTGTGACGGTGCTGTGCCAATCTTCCGTAACAAGCCCCTCTATGTGATCGGTGGTGGTGACTCCGCTGCCGAAGAGGCCATGTTCCTGGCCAAGTACGGCAGCTCGGTTACCGTTCTGGTCCGTCGTGACAAGCTTCGTGCCAGCAAGGCCATGGCCAGCCGTCTTCTGGCCCACCCCAAGGTGACCGTTCGTTTCAACACCGTTGCGACTCAGGTCCTGGGTGAGGAGAAGCCCATGGGCTTGATGACCCACCTGCGTGTCAAGAACACCGTCACCGGCGAGGAGGAGACCGTCGACGCTAACGGTCTTTTCTACGCCGTTGGCCACGACCCCGCCACCTCCTTGGTCAAGGGCACGATCGACCTCGATGACGAAGGATACATCATCACCAAGCCTGGCACCAGCTACACCAGCCTGGAAGGTGTCTTCGCTTGCGGTGACGTCCAGGACAAGCGCTATCGCCAGGCCATCACCAGTGCCGGTATGCCATGACCCCACTATTACCCCGTCACATCAAATACTAACAGTCTTTCACAGGCTCCGGCTGCATTGCTGCTCTCGAGGCTGAGAAGTTCATCGCTGAATCCGAGTCCCCTGAAGAGGAGGCTCCCGTCAACGAGGTCAAGCAAACCCCTCAGGGTAAAACCGCGGAGTACAAGTCTAACCCTCTCCTCTAAACGTCTCCGTCCCCGCCACACCTACTCTATAGATTCCTGATCACCACCACCTCTTCATCACACCTAGATCTGCCCTACACCGGCTGACTATCATGTTTCATGTCCTACGGATATATCCATTTTGCTTATTTTGATGGCTGTTTATATTAGACTTCAGCGTTCTGGTCATTCTCCTCGGTTTGTGATGGGAAGTTTAATACATTTTTTTTCGGTCCCTTCGATGATACTCGTGGCGCGCATGTTTCATGGGTCGCTGAAACTATGAATTTCATATCAATAGACTAGAATATAGAGTAATTCTCGAGGATCCTGATTCGAATCTGGTTTCATTTGATAGTACAAAGATGGTCGTTAAGAGCATATATATCTTACATAGTATGCATCAACTCGTGCAATTCATAATAGGAGCAAGATCGTCCAGGCTGAATCTCAACGATTCGACAAGTCAGAGTTATGCAAGGAGCCGTTCACTTGTACCCCATTTATGGGGGGATGAACAGTCGCAGCAGCAGTTACTCCATGAGTCCGATCGCTCGAGTTATTTGTATGCTGTCCCAATGAAGAGATGGTCGAAGTAGTAGCACCAGCGCCAATTGACAAATGATTTGTCGGCACAACAGTGTCCGCAGAACGTACACCCCAACTTTCAAACGGATTAGCTGCATACCACTTCGTCTTCAATTCGGCCGCCTTCTGCTCCCACTCGGCGATCTGTTGTTTCCACCGGCTCCACATTTCCGCATTGGTCTGTCGGTTGACCTCTGTCTGTTCGATGTACGGCCGCTTTTCCTCTTCGCTGGCTCGCCGCCACATGAGTCCGAGCTCATGACGGATCTCATCGCGAGCAGCTTTCGCGTTAGGGTCGTTCGTTTCTGCTCGGCGAGCTTCGTCGCATTGGGAGCGGCATATTCCCCAGTAGTCTTTTTGGTAGAGGAGGAAAGGGTTTAGGCCGGTTCTTGCTGGTCGGGGCATGGGAGGGCCGATTTCCGATTGAATTGATGTCCACATTGCTTGTTCGTAGGCATGTTGACGGGCTGATATAGGTGAGGCTGGTTCCGCTGAGTTGGTTGGAAGATTGCTAATGGATGATGCCACGGGCATGGGCGGCTCTTTTCGCTTTTGTCCTGCCGCTGTTGGAATGCTAAATTCTGCCTTTCCTTTCTCTGGTACGAGGGGGTTCGGTAGCTCTAAGGGACCTAGGATAGACTCGATCACCTCAGAGCCGGCGCGGAGCCCAGAGATATATGCTCCGTGGACAGTGGCAGGGTGAGTGCCACATGTCGCCTCCCCTGCAAAGTGCAAATTGCCAATCGGCTTGGCCATCAGGTCGTAATCTCCTGGAAGTGCTTGCGCCGCCACATAGGAGTAGCTGCCCCTAGTGAACCTATCGGACTTCCATCTCGTGACTATTGTTTCTAGTGGATCGGGAACCACCGTATGTTTGAATACATTGCGGAGTTGGCTGGTCACCTCAGCAATAATTTGATCATCAGGTGTACATTCCGCCTGAAGAGCGGCATCTCCGGCCATAAGGGCAATTAGAACGGGAAGTCCGGTAGTCTTCAGACAATTCCAGAAAAGGTAGAATCGACCTCGGTTAGCAGCATAATCTTCTTGAATGGTGCTGTTTCGATTCGTGGGTTCGCGCAGAAGCCCAAACATATCTCGTTCAGTGTCCCAGAATGGCTGGTCAAACACCAGAATCACCTTGTTCATTACTCCAAACCCGAGTCGATCAATGGCTCCACGTTTCCATTCTGGTAGAGGAGGTTCAAACTGTATGGATTGATGCTTAAGCACGCCCAAGGAGCCGGTGAAGACCACTTTGTCTGCCGCAAACGATTCGCCGTCTTCGCAGTGAACAACTGTCTTCTGTTTTCCCATTCCAGACGGGTCATATGATATCTTAGACACTATCTTGTTTGTTCGAACGTCGAGTTTTGTAGGTAATGAGAATAGCCCGTAGGGGACTTGTTGATATCCACCTACTACCTGTGAATGCTCGCCTTCGAACTCATTTCCTATATCTTGATCCCATCCGGAAAGACTAAGTCTACTGACGTTAGTCGCGTTTGCATATTCCAAATTGGCAAAGTGCCAGTTAATCAAACGCATGTCTTTCGGGGATAGCGGGAGCATCCGCTGGTATTGCCGGATGCCCTCGTCCAGCACAGCACCTAACGTTTGAGACGACGAAACCTTAGCGACGGGGTCCAGGTTTAAAGTAGCATTAGCTGGAACGCCGTCGTTCAATCTCCAACCATTCACTTGACATGTAAAAGCAGCTGGTTGCTCCTCCGGGCGTGCAAGATCTGCACCTGGGGCTCCCGGTGCCTTGATGTCTGCGGTTTTATGACCTACGCCTCGACGGACACGCTTTGTAGGAAGCAAAAGGCCGATAGTACCGGAAGCCCTTGCTTCCTCGTATTGTCTTACTGTGACACCATCGCTTGTTGACAAATCGCGACCTGAATCAATCAATTCCCGGTCGCCTTCCGCGGTAGGAACGACGATGGATTTATGTCGATAGAGCCCGGAACGGTCTAAGACATCATCATAGAGCCTTTCATCCATCGCATCCTGAATCTCATCCACCGGTGAACCATCTATGTCATAAATTGTCGAAATGTCGCGTAACAAGTGATATGGAAGAGCCAGCTGGCTCCGAATGATTGGGTCTAACGGATTACCACGGTCGAAACCAACAACTATATGCGCACCCATCTCGGCCTTAGGGACTAGTCCGGGGCCTAACTTAGACGTCTGAAGACTTCGCAAAGGATGTGAGTATATACGACCTCCAATTCTGCGTCTTCCTTCTAACAAAATGACCCGAGGGGCTGTGGACGCGTCGCGATAATGACGAAATAGACCTTCCAAGTGCCGTGCGCAACCTAGACCTGACATCCCAGCCCCAATCACGACCACCACGGGACCTTCCTTGCGCCGGCCTTTCTTTGGAGCTACAAAAGGCATAGGAATTTCGACACAACCAAAGTTGATGTACCCATTTCGTACCAGCCATTCATACGCGAAAGAGGCGAGGTTCATCCAACGGTAGTCCTTCGCACACCCAAGAGCTTCCTCCTTGGAAACGCTTACCATCGGATTTCGAGTCCAAAGTCGAAGTATACCATTCCGTATGTTCAAATATACTGTGACGTGCAGATGACACAAATGGTCCTGCAACGCTTCCTGCTCCTTTAAGTGCAGCGCGTACGGATTGAGTCTGGATGCATAAGCTGCAGAGATACACTGCTGAGCGTAAACTGCAGCCGGAAGCCTCGAAGGTATGGAGGATCTTGGGCGATATGTCGTAAACCCATTCCCGCTATCTGCATTTTTAGTGTCTGTGACGAGAGAAGATAAAGAGGGCTTGCTGATGACAGTTATCGGTGGCATTGGATTATTTTGACTCGGTTGAGGCGTGAATGAAGAAGTCGTGACTGAATCGCTCGACCTACCATGGGCCGTAGTTGTATGAACATCCTGAGATAGATAGTCTGTACTTTGGGACCTAGAGTCAACCCCGTCTAAAGCTGTTCTTTCTACCTGATGACCTGGGTTTGAGTTGCTGTTTGAGACAGAATATAGATTTGTGACAGTGGCTTGATTCAAGTCGTTATCCAACTTTGAGGCATGAGCCTTCATCATGCTAGCGTTCAACTGCAGACTGCCCCTTGGCAATGTTTGGTTTGACGGCAGCAGGGCAACATGGCCGCTGCTGTTGATGCTAATGTTTGTTGGGATATATTGGTCTAGAGTGGTGACCTCATAAGAATGGCCATTTAGGACATGCGTTTTCATCGAAGCTGCAGCTCCCATATTGCTGGCAAGGGGTGCCATATTGTCGCGGTATGTGTTGTAGCAATGAGATCGACTATTGCCCAGTTCAGTAGAAGGTAACTATATTATACTGAGCCTATCCATAGACATAGCACTTCCATCATTTGAGAATACAGGCAGCACAGATCTCAACGTTTCAATCCATTGTGGGTCCACTCATTGGGAGCCGTTGGTGGCGGGTAGGAGAGAAGCTTGATATGGGGATGTACAAATTCCTTGAGAGAATGTCAGAACATGTTATATGATTGTTTATAAACTTCTAAAGATACGGTTATAGGACATGAGAAAGGCCTCGCATAACATGGAGCAGGAGTCCATTGACTTACCTGAGATGTTAGTTCGAGGGGTTATTGGGGGCAAGAAAGATACTGATTATCCGAACCCATCGCTTTCCTTCTACAACCGATGCAACCCTAGAGGATGGTACTGAAATGTAGCAGACCAACAGTCAGTTAGGGCCAATTGCCGATAAAGGCGAGAGAACGCAAGAGTGCCAGGGATTTGGTAAAGCGCAGGGTGATGTGAAACCTGAACTCTGAGGCTATCGATGGAGATTTGGTACTGCGGATGGGCCCATGCGTATTTTTCAGTCCGAACCCAAGGTATGCCACATTCTGCAGGCTGCACTTTGTCTAGTTCCCACCCTTCTTACACTCACTCACTCACTCTTTGATCCCTTGTTATTATGAAAATCAGGCATGTTTGATTATACTGTGATTGACAAGACAGCAAAGGAATTGAAATTGCGAAGTTTGAATAGCCCAGGGAATCTCCACAGTCTTTATATATTGATAATGCACAGCAATCAATGTGATACGTACTCAATTCATTATCTCGTTAAATGTAGTACAAACAAAAGGTTTACAATCAGATATAGTTCGTAAAATCCAGCCAGGTCTTGATGCAGCCGTGATCATTACGCGGCAAGGACGAGCAGATACTCACGAGTGGACTGCGGACACCTTCCAGTCCCCATTTCTTAGGTATTAAGCAAAGTAAGTATCTGACCTTTGCGTCCTCCCGGTTTTGAGCACAGTTCCGGTCGGAAGTAAAGTCCATGACGGTTTGGCCTGAACTATCCGCTATGGACATTACCCAAATTGGCGTATAGGATTCCAGCAGCCGACCTCTACGGATATGCCACGTGCAATCATCCGTCGGGCAAAGACATTCAAGAAAAGGAAAGACTGAATTTACTGATGGCATAGAGAAGACTATACGATAATGAATAGTGTTCTTATAGAAATGAAGTAGGGGTAAAACTAACCATCGGGACGGAATTTCACTCTTAGGATTATCAACTCCAATATTTCATCTTCAAGAGGTTGGAAGAGCGCATCCACGATCGCTGACTCGGTACTCCCGGTGGACTTAACAAGATATTCACGGAAATCTAGTTTTTCGGCCCTAGTTAAACCTAAGCCTTTGTTAATTAATAGACTGGCATCACCTACCGTTCAATTATATCCTCCCTGACCATTGCCTGTTCGCTCTCAGATATATCCTTCAAAGAACGTGGTCGACGAAAATTGATCAGGTAAGGTGTAACCGGAGAGAATGTGTACGAAACGGAAAAGTCATACAAGACTGTATCATGGAAGTCCCCCGAAAGCCTGAAATGATCATCTCGTACATCACCATGAGTGATTCCGAGTCTGTGTAATGCCAAAAGACGGCGAATACGGTCATGGAAAAGACTAATGTAGTATTCCAGTTCGAAAACACTGAGGAACCCTAAAGCACTGAGACGATTCTTGAATTCAAGGTTCCTTTCTGTACATGCTGCTAGGATTCGTCGTGATGCAAGCCTTGGCCTGATAAGTTCGAGGATAACAGCTCGACGGTTAACATAACCGCAGGTGAACTTGGATATATCGAGATCGGTCATGACACCATGAAACTCAGGAAAATATATCCTTTGGGAGCTTGGACACAACGCATTAATGCGGCTGTATACTCGAGCTTCGTTAGTATATGGGTCGAGTTCATCTTTTACCCCCTGAAGCTTCTTAGGTATGCGTGGAGGAACTCGTCGCAGTTGCGAGTATGCATTCTCTTCAGTGTAGCCAGGGAACTTTATCTGATATCAGACTCTATGTTAAAGATCCTGCCCCTAATATACTTACTACTTTGGCCACATATTTGCGCATATACATCCCGTCGTGCTGAACGAGAAGCCATAGAACTTGAATCTGATCCTGACTAGGGCGCCGACCAGTACCCACTGACCTTCCCAAAACCCACTTTCCCTGTGGAGGAGAAAACGGCCTGAAAACTTGCCTATCATCGTAAACTGCATTGATCCACTCTGGAGGAGGCCATTCGAAGAAGAATTCCTCAGTCCACGACTTGTCACTCATACTGCCTGTCGTCGATTAGTGGAGGTGCTAGCTGCTTTCTGAACCAACAGAACTCAGGATGCCGAATGTAAAATCGTACTATAGCCACCTTAATAAAGAGATGTAGGAAGGAGTCTGGCGAAATTGTTACGGCAGGTCTTCTGACGTTTTGGAGACGGATTTGCGATATAGTCTGCCAGAATATGATCATCAGGTCATTAACGGTTCTATCTTTTATCTGCCGACTAAGAGATCAATTGTGCAGTGGGTGATTAACCCCCAAGGGGCGTTACTCACCGCAGTCCCAGAATTACCCAGCCAACCCCGGAGCAGACACAATTAATGCGCTGTTGAGGAGAAGGCGTCAAGGGGTTGACAAGTGTTTATCAGAAGATAAAAAACACAAGGACTAATCAGTCAGGCGTCTACCATAGCAATGGAAACGGCCTGGAGAAACATTAGAACTGTCAAGTCATGCAATGCCTCTGTGGTCTGTTCTATATTGATGTTAAGCCTGACCGGAATTACTTTGACCTACTTAGTATTTCAGTAATGCTGAATCAAGAGCAAAATACGTGACTGCTCAGTAAACAAACCCTGAGCACCCTCACAAAAAAGCAGCCGTGTCCGACACAGGCAAGCTACCAGAAATCTGCAGTGTGCATATGTGCATATGTGTATGTATATACCCTTCTCTACTTTATATAAGTGATCTCGCTTCTCCTACCAACGCCTACGTGAACAGAGCTCGTTTCAAATCGATAGGATTACAGATGGGAGATTGGGGTATGGGCCTGGACAACCGAGAACGCCAAACTCCCCCAAAACTTTCAGTATCGCATCAACGATTCACGCCATCGGTAGGAAACCTATAGGACATGAACCGTGGGAATTACCTCTATCGCAAGCAGTGTCTAGAAAGCAAATGCGGCTCCGAGTTTCAGCTCTTCCGCACGTGTGTATGTAGGCCATACGTTTCCCCCTCACCGCCGTCTCCATTCTTGAAGACGTCGTCTGAATCATTATCTGTAAACTCATCCCGGTAGTGGCCCTGGGATTGAAGTCTGGGCGAGTTCTCGCCACCGCTGTCATCGTCAATGGCCAGATCAACATTATCGTCATCGAAATCATGGAACCCGAGACGCTCCTCCTCGTCACGAGCAAGAGTTGTGGCAGCAGTGTTGACATACGGGTCCTCAGAGAAGGCATGGTGAGGGCGACGGTCAGCATGATCGGCCTGCAAGGATCGACGTATATCGGCTCTCTCCTGGGCCTCTAACTCCTTAGCTCGTGCCATAGTCCTAAAAACTCTGTCAGCTTTCGAATTTCGCAAAGTAGACTAGTCGTTGACGGCCCACCTTTTATAGATGTACCAGCCGGTGAAAATGCCGATCGCAACGGTTACGATGATGCTGCCGATATTCACGGCTTTAGAACCTGCGCTCATCTCCTCTCCTTTCTCGGAAAGTAAACGGATCCGGCTGCCTACAAAGGCCGGGACAAGAAGCTTAGGTGTAACGATAGCCGTGGCAAGTCCATACATCAATGGCTGAACGGTCGGGAAGGTTGAAACAGCACCGTTGCATACTGAGTACGGCAAAGGACAGAGACGAATCATACACAGCAGTTTCAGCCCGTCATACTTCAACGTCAACGCAAGAGCTGCGAATCTTTTATCACGCTCCATCATTCGATTGACGAACTTTGACAGGATAGTCCGAGAAACAATGAAGGAGCACGTAGATCCCAGCACAGTCGCAGACGCATAGAGAAACCATCTATCGAGGATGTCAGTGGGCCGGTCAAGACCAGGATAAAGACGCAAATCTTACCCTTTCCATACGCCAAAGATGTAGCCAGATATGGTACCAAAGGTAGACCACCCCACCAATGGTGGAAAGGAGACGAAGAATACACATAACCAGAGGACAATGTATGCCCCCGCTGAGTTCTCCCATTTCTCTGCTACAGGGCCAAGCCATATGAAGACTTTGCCCGTGAAAACCAGGAATCCAATTCCGAGGAGATTGGCAAGCAAAGCAGCAGCAGCAGCACCTACTTTCTGCCAAAAACTCAATCTCCGCCAAATTGCCATCATTCGTTGCGATGTTTCATTCAAGCGATGAGCGACCTGCTTCCAGAGGGTACGAGGCTCGGAGGGGTTGGCGGGATTGCTCCTGCCGGATGCCAAATGACTCCATGGCGGATACGAATCATTGTCTGCGGGTGAAAGTGACTCTGAAGGCGAGGTGGGGAGGGACAAAGCCCGGGCGGTAGATGTATAGTCGGCAGGCATCTTTCAGGAATATAAGAGAGTGTATTGCGATTCCGAAGCCGGAGAGACAGTCCAAGAACAAGTATTCGCAAGCCGATAGAGTTCGACGGTTAAGTGGAAGCGTAAGCGTAACACCAACGATTATCTTATTGTTGCTTTTTTAGAATTGGAAGGTAGTCCCCGATAGATCGCCACGTTACTAGCCGTTGATCAATTAGCGAGGGCGTATCTATGCCCCCAGCGTGAGCGGATACATGGGAAGTTGGAAAGGGATCGGTGTTTTGCAACAAGTCCAAATGGCTGGAAGGCGTTCCTGAATTGTTGGGGAAATGGAAGAAAGATTTACCAGGTAAAAAGCTAAGCAGCCATGATGAACCTTCAGTCGCGATCGCAGATAGATAAAAGCCTATGATAACGGCTGAGACGTGGCATAGAGCCCCTATAAAGACAATGACAGTTTGTCTGCCTGAGAGTGAAATGGAGGCTGTGCTATTAGGTTGGTGGTAAAACTAACTAATTAATGGAGCTGCTGACTGTACGGTATGAAGTCACACCATTACCGCATGAGTACCCTCAGTACGGTATTATTGTACTCAGTGTCAAACATGCGTACTATGACCTACCTACGGAAGCTTGGTTCTTTCCACCTACCAGACTATTTTTTAGGGGATATGCTATACTAATTTATATCAAGAACACTTTGTTCCTCTTCAATATGGGAGAGAGAAGGTAAAAGTAGTTCCTGCTTTCAGGGTACTTGCCGGTATGCAGCCTGCATCCAAGGTTCGTGATCCATGATGGGTGGGTATATGTATGTATCGGCAGATCGACCAGTGATCCTGCTGGGTTATCGCCCGTGCCAAGACCCTGTTGCCATCAAGTCTAGATTTCATGGAAAGGCAGCAGCAAGTCAAGAAGTTTTCCCCCCACATTCATACCCAGCGATTTTCTGTGGGACGGGAAAGGGGAGTCAAAAAAAGGTAAAAGGCTATATATGTACCTTGATATATCAAACTCTATGGAATAATCAATCGGGTCCAGAAAATAAACAGACTAAAGCAGAAAAACAAACAAAAGACCTGTATAGAACAGGCACAGCTAGCTCATTTCAAATTTCTCCTATAGTCTGTAACGCCTCGTCAATATCAATCGAATGGATCCATCCTGGATATTGACACCTGTTTCCATTCTGGTTTAGTGCTTCACTCAATCGGGTGAGAAGATCGAGAGGGGAGGTCGAATTGGTGGTTGGATTGGAGCCACAGCCTCAGGTTGGAGAACAAATAATCTACAAAGGTCAAGCTCTCGACCAGACATCTGTTTTCTCCCCCCAATTTAATTCCCACCTTGACAGCCGTACCCGTACCTTTCTCCCCCAACTTACGATTTAGTCTACACCCGACAATTCCTTTCTCCCTCTCCCTTCTTTTCTTTTTTCCTTGCTTTTTCTTCGCATGTTTTCTCGTTTCTCCCATTAAGTTGCTTCTTCTTCTTCTTTTTCTCTCTCTCCTTTATTTCTTGGATGTCCCCTTGTTCTTCCCTGATTGATCGTTCCCTGCTCAGATGTGATGCGATTACCTATGGTCTACCACACGTTTCCTGTCGCATCCTGCTAACATCTCTCATCTAACATCTCGTTTCATCCATGACCATACACTGGATTACCTCTTTAGACAGGGAACAATGAACGCTGAATGTTAAACTCCCTTCTCAGTTTGTGGTGGTGTTGCACAATCTCATTCTTGTCCTCTATTCAACCTACTGTCTTACCCCTCATTTCCCTCCGCCCCTTTTACACCGCGTATCTCTGCCCTCTTATCAACACCCCTCAGTTGCATGACATCGCCTCCACTCAGCATGATTTCAGAAGAGCTTCTTGAGGACTGCCTCCAATCCCTCCAAGGCCAAGACTTCGACGAGGAAGAACAGGCCGAGAAAGCTGAGGATTTCCTGCGAGAGAAGACCTCCTTGTCGGGGTCGTCCTTAGAAAATGCCGTGCTGGACGTCCTATGGAGGCATCGAAATCGCTCCCTTCCGGGTTCCTCTCCTCCTCCGCCCCGACATACTGTCATTCGCCGCTCATCTCCAGCCCCCTGGCAAATGGGCCGTTCGTCGACGCCGTTGTCACCCCATTCAAATCTAGGAACGAGCCCGGGGAGTACCTCTTGGCTTCCTAATTCACGAGGCGGCTTCTCGCGACCGGCGCTGTCCTCTACCGTATCACCATTTACTTCCCCGCGCCCGTCGCCCAGACTCGCTCTTGCCCAGCCGATCCCTCACTCCCCGAATTTAAACGCATACGAATTCTCCGACCAGACCCAAGTGTCCGACTTCTATGGTGATTTTGGTAGCGACAGCAATGTGGACTGGCTGGTAGCCGACGATGCCAACAGCACTACCTCTTCTGTCGGGACACTGAGTGCCATTGGAGGCCTCAGCGCTACGGCCGCTGAATTTGTCCCGGATATGAGTCCCCATGATATTTTGCGCACAGTGCTCGGAGATAAAAGGACAAACGATGAGATAGAAGCTGCCCTCGAGGCAAACAGTTACGACTTAGGTGCGACAATTGCATCTTTGTCTCAAGGTCATGATGGGGATGGGTTTGTCCATCACTCGGATGACACTCGTGTGGTTGTTGGAAAATCGATGGCAATGGAGCAAGCCAAACCTGGAAGTTCCCCAGGCCAAATCCGTAGCCCAGTGGTCTGCAAGTATTGGTTGTCTACTGGCCAATGTCTCCGCGCCGATTGCCGGTTTAGCCATGACCTAACCAATCATCTTTGCAAGTGAGTCTGACGAGGGCTTTGTAGACATGTTCTAACAGACAGTGGCACTGACGATGTTACCCTCCCTTTATAGATACTGGGTTATGGGCAATTGTTTGGCTGGCGATGGTTGCCCTTTTTCACATGATCCTTCAGCGCTCGTCGCCAATCTCAGCGTGACGGACGGCAGCCATCAAGGCTCGACTGGTCCTCAGTTCCACGTAGATAGCGCCTCCGAAGCATTCCCTCCTTTACAATCCACGCTAGGCGTGGGTGATCAATGGGCGGGCCAATACATTGGCAAATACCCATCTCATTTATCGGGTCTAATGGGGCCCAAAGGCGTGTCGCAATCAATGCAACTTGTCACAGGCAAACGAAATGGAAGTTCAACACATGGGTCTCGCCCTCATTCCCGACCCGGTAGCAGGCATCAGAATCGTGAATTAAACCCGGCTGCCCCGTCTGTGGATGACCCAGATGCATTTCCTACACTTGCTGCTGTCAGCGCCAAAAATAAGAAACATCATGGTAAACGTGGCGCGCATAATCGTGAAGCCAATTCCAATAAAGATAGTGTGCCTACTTCACTAGCAGATGTCGTACGCATGTCTCCATCTCCCGCAGTTGGGAAGGGCAAGACCACATCCAGAAACAAAGAAGGAGCCAAAGGCCGTGAGAACAGCGCCGCTGCTCAGTCTATACCACCGCCGCAAAACATCCCTTGGCTTGAGACAGGCTCGCGAGCCAACCAGCAATATATCAAGTACCGTACGGAAGCCATCCGCCATGGCACAGTAAGGAACAAGTTTCTCCAAAGGTAAGGGCCTCGAGATGCACCCTGATTCGAGTAAGCTGACTGTCTTCATAAGTGCGGCCCAAGCCTGGAATCGTAATGATGCTAGGGCGGCAAAAGCTCTATCTCTGCGGGGTCAGGCGGAGAACGAAGCTATGCGTAAGTGCCATCGAGAAGCCGCACGGCAATTATACGAAGAACGAAATAAACACATAGTCAATGCCGGTCTGGACGATTCCTTGGAAGAGCTCTATGTAGATTTGCATGGCCTACACCCCGAGGAAGCAATTGAATATTTGGAGAAGATCCTCCTCAAACATGCTAATGAAGGCCGGCGTGTTGTCTATGCCATCACAGGCACAGGCCACCATTCTAAGAATGGGAAAGACAAGATAGGAAAGGCAGTCAAGGCTTGGCTGAACGAGTGGAAATACCTATTCCGTGAATTTAGCGTACCTGGAGAAAGGGGAGGGTATGTGGGTGGGATCTTGGGCATCGATCCCACGAGTTACGACAGATCTCTAGCGAAGAGTCTAGAAGACAGTGCTGATGCAAAAGCCGGTGCAGGTGGGAACACACCCGTGCTAACGATGGGCAAGATTCAGCTGTTGAAGCGGGAGGATTTGGAAGTGAAACACTAAAGCACACTTGAGAAAGGCCTTCCAATTTATGAATTCAGTGGAAGGAATAGTACTTGTGTTGTACGGAGTACTACAAGTCGCCTCCGTGATATGTTACGGTATCCATAGTGTGCCCACCTTCCCCCCTCCCAATTGTCTAAGACGCGGAATTGCAAGCGGTGGTGGATTTCCCGCAGCCTGAACGCAAGTCCCCCGTGGACATCAATTCCAGCAAGTATATGAAAGGATGCAGGAATTCAGGGAATGAAATAGATAAATCTCTTATCATCTGTTCCTGTGCATAGCATCAACTTTCTTCTGGCCTCCTCTTTGTCCGTCCCCTTATCCTTCTTCAACACGGAGGCTGGCTAGTTAATACAACATTATTTCAATATACGTATCCATTGGTAATTTTCTCCTGAGTGTTGGTGAGATTTGCAGCTAAAGACTATTGTTTAACGTGGGGACAGAGAGTAATATTTACTCGGGCTCCTGGTCGCGCCACTTCTCGCGTAATTCTTCAACATTGAAACCGCAGGCCTCGGCCTTCTTCACGATTGCCCTCGCCTTTTCAGCAACCGGGACATCAATCATCTTGCCATCCAACGTCCAAGCACCCCGGCCCGCCGCCGCCGCCTTGTCATCTGCAATAGTCACCCGCACGGCCCACTGAACCTCATCCGAGTCTGGGCCAAAGATCTGTTGTACAGTCGGCACCTGAGAAGGATGGATACACTGCTTCCCGTTGAATCCCAACTGTCTACCACCGCGACATTCCTCTTCCAGAACAGCCGGCGGAGACCCGTCACCCTTAGTCGATTTATAGGTCGTACAGACAAGATCAATAGTAGAAGGCAGATTCGCCGCCCTCGCAGCAGTAGCAATCATAGACCGAGCGAAGAGAAATTCAGTCAGATCGGGGGTCCGTGTCAGACTGAGGTCGAGGGCGAAATCCTCCGCGGCGAAAATCAGGCCCTGCAGAAGTGGCGTGGAGGCGCAGATCTGGGTCAGATTGGTTAGGGATTTGGCCGACTCAACGAGAGCCAGGAGAGAAATCGGAGGTCGCGAGGAAGCATCTTGGGATTGGGGCTGTTGGGAAAGCGTGTGGGTGATGACGTCGTTGACGAATGTTAGGTCGGAAGCTGAGTTGACTTTCGGGATGACGATGGTGCTTAGATTGGGGGACTGGAGCTGTTTATTCTGTGAGCTGGTGGAATTGGAAAGAAAGCAAGCCGAATCCAGAAGACATGGGCTTACCACTTCTGTTAGATCTGCGAGGGCTAGACCGCTGTCTACGGAGTTGATGCGGACTGCTCGTTCGCGGATGCCTGAGGGTGCGGGCTGGTCGAGAGCTCTCCGCACCAGGGAACGAGCTTCCGCTTTCTTGTGCGGAGTCACGCTGTCTTCTAGGTCATAGGCTACGCAGTCGGCTGTTAATGTGCGTGATTTGTCGATGAAGCGCTGCGATGAGCCCGGGACTGGGTTATTTAGGGTCAGCGAGGGTCGTCTGGGTGTGAGCGATGTGGTGCGCCTGCAATCATTCTGGTTTGTAGGGACGAGGTGAAATGCGGGGAAGAGCTGCCTGGGAAGGACGTACTGTAGAGCAATGCGCGACGGAGCGTATTTCTGGACGCCATTGTCGCTAGATACTGAGCGATTCAAAGAGTCTCTGTGTGTATCTCGCTTCCCTTTAGTTCGGCAGTATTACAAAGTGGCGAGGAGAGCGAAGACTGGCGGCAGTTGAGAAGTCAGTCTTTTCCTCCCTCGGCAACGAGGGCATAAAGCCTTCTCCGGAATCTAGATTTCAACATTGTGAGATCAGTGGAGACATCTATAAGCTTATTTTAAGGGGGAATATGATGTGTCCCGGTCAATTGAAACGAGCTTCTGACATTTCACACCACGTGTGAGTTGCCTCCACAATATGATTCGTTTTGTACTGATGTCTGTCGGTCTGTATGTACATGAGAGATCATCTTATCAGTCCATCAAACTAGCAATCCGTATGTTACATAAATAACCGCGTATCAAAAGCTCCACCGCCCGCATTCTGTCCTCGCTCACCGCCCGGCCATGGAGACACGCAACATCATCGCATTCATTCCGCCCTGTCAACTATTCTTCTTAAGAAGAGCAAAGTGAGCGTAATTGCTCCTGTCTTTGTCGCTGGCGTTCTTACTCGTCCCGTTACTAGATACTAAGATTTCCCCTCCGTCGATATGGAGCAACAACCCCTCAATCCTGAACCCCAGCAGGGTGATCTTAACTGGCGCCTGAGTGCGCATCCGATTACGTTGCTTTGTTTCCTGGGCTTCCGCTTCAGTGCCCTGCTGATGTACCTATTCGGGGTGCTGTTTATTAAGAATTTGTATGTGCCTTTATTTTGTTCTTGCATAGCTCCCTCCTCCAATATAATGTCGACCCCTCGTGGGCTATCTCGGAGATTTCTGCCCCTGAGTACATGGCCAATCCAATCTAATCTGAATCTACAGTATCTTGGTCTTCATCATCACCTTGCTTCTCCTCGCAGCAGACTTCTATTACCTCAAGAACATTGCCGGACGTCGCTTAGTGGGTCTCCGCTGGTGGAACGAAGTGAACACCGCGAGTGGTGACTCGCATTGGGTGTTCGAATCCTCGGACCCGACAACTCGTACGGTCGCAGCTACAGATAAGAGGTTCTTTTGGCTTAGCTTGTATGTGACGCCTGCGCTTTGGGTTGGGCTGGCGATTTTGGCCATCATTAGACTGAGCAGTGTTATTTGGTTGAGCTTGGTTGGTGAGTAGTGTCTTGTCTTCTGTGACTCTTGTGGTTTCTGATACTAATCGACATAGCTATTGCCCTCGTCTTGACAATCACCAATACCCTTGCTTTCTCCCGGTGCGATCGCTTCAGCCAAGCGTCCACCTTCGCCAACCGGGCACTGTCTGGAGGAATTGTGAACAACATCGCGGGGGGTCTGCTGGGCAGACTCTTCAAGTAAACAAGCAAGTCTTGAACGTTGTGCATTGTATGGTTGTCGTTCCTCCCTTGATACATCTGGATGTATTTTACAAATCACGTGCGCTTTATGTATGCTCAGGCCTCTCAATATGAAATGAATGCAACAACATGTTTGTATCTCACTCTTTTATACCTGTTGATCTTAATACCATTAGTCATTTTTGAGGGATTTTCCAGGGCTTGAGCTCAGTCTCAAAGCATGGGCCTCGTTTCTCACAAGGAATGGACTCTAATGCTGCGTGACTACAATGATTAGCACAAGCTATGTGACTTGTCAACTTTACAAGATGCAATTCCACAAAAAAAAAAAAAAAAAAGGTGCTAAACCAACAACCTATTCAACTTGAAAGGATTTGCTATTAGGCTCATCACCGCACTAGGACTGTCTTCCCAGGGACACAAAGATCACGAAATCGACCCCCTGCTATTTGCAAAATGAATACCTCCACCACTTGCCCACAAAGTCCTTATCAACAAACAAACAGTACAGAAGAAGAAAAACAACTACTGATCTCTAACCGAGAGTCTCTCACTCGCTACCTTCGAAATCTATTACATCCCAACAAAAAGCACAACTCACAACTCACAACTCACAACAAAAAAGCCAATACAACCCCACCCATCCATTTACAAAAATAACAAAAAAAGCACTAGCCTGAGAAACTAATACATGTCTCTCAGGGTTCTTATGCCAGGGAATGGAATAGGGGGTGACTGTGCCGCAGTACATTAGCGTCAGCCTCCTGACAAGGATTAAACGTTGAGAACAATACGAGGCTGGGGATTATTTCGATCTAGTATCCATAGCCATCCTACGTGGCTGTCAGTCAACAAAGAAAGAGCAGGATTCAAGAAAGACAATCTCATTATGAGTGCTGGCATACCTATTAGCGAAGTAAGACATGACAGTAATATGAATATGTATACTCCGTGTATACTACTAGAACATACCATACCCAAGCCCTAAACTATCTATCATCATCCAGGTCACATAAATTCAAATCAACCTAACTCAAGAACGAATCTCACAAGACCAAAGACACACAAAAAAGAAAAGATAACAAATATCAATCCCACTCCGTACAAAATCCCCCTTTCAAAACTCTCACATGCACAACTCCCAAAACAGGCCAAACCGCTATTCCTATCCCCCGTCCCCCGAGGAAGCTAAGTCCTAGTCCCATCAGCCACGTATCAGTTCTCCCCTGACATCCAAGGATAACATGCTTCTATTCGCTGTGGCCCTTGGCACCTCTCGCTCCTGGTTGAATCTTATTTTGGTACTTTGGGACAAAACTTGGAAGTCATGACTCGTGAAAGGCTACAATGGTGTGTGGATTGTGAGTGAGTGAGCACAAGGCTCCAGGCAACCATTGCCTTTTTTTTTTCTTTCATTTCATAGCATGGGTCTGTTCTCTGGGTTTGTTTTGCTTTGCAGCCTTGTACTTTTGACAAAGAAAAGATAAAGAAAAAAGCAATCATACAAATTACCAAGTGAGTCTATGGAAAAATACCCGGGAGAAGCATTAACACAACATTATGATAACGTTATGATAACCAAACTGAAAGGATCATTCATTTCCTCTCAGAGCACAGGTCACAGCCTCGTAGTATAAAACCCAGCATTCCATCTCACTGTCTCATCCTTGAGTTCTGGTTGATTCTTCTTTTCTTTCTAAATGCAGACCAAAAGAAAGAGGTGCCGATTGAGCAGTGGTGGTCGCTGGACCACAGAAGAACGATCTCGTCTATTGCGACTGCGTGATCTGAATAAGCATCTTCGTTGGACTCAGTTTCAGAAGGTGAGTTTTATCAACTTCCTTGTTGTTCAGGTACCCTTGCTTTGTGTATGTTCGGGTTGCTGATATGGATTGCTTTCTTGCTAGACATACTTTCCGCGACGATCCTATATGGCTTTGACAAAGGCTTACTCGGTGGGTTTTCCTTCCCCCTTTCTTTGTATTGCTTCATTGAGATATCCCTCGTCGATCTTTGCTGGTTTCTCTCTGGCTATTGTTTTTGTTGGGTTGTTTGGTTGAAGAGGTTCGCTAACCTGGACAAGGATATGAAATTGAACCAACAAACTAGGGACAACGCAATGGTGTGCATTCCGTCCCTCGGCCAAAAACAATAACAGCATTTGCTTACCGCTCCTATTGTCTTATACCAGGCCAATACTGCTAGCAATGGAACGACACTCCCATTCAAGACCAATAAGCCAATCAAACGACCAAACACGGACGAGCGCTCCGTCAATGAACGGGCCAATAAACAGTCTAAAACGGCCGAGAAAGATTCGACCTATGCGCCTGACGAAGACGGCGAGGGTTCGGAATCTTCATGTGGCGAAGATATTGATATGGATGGTGGCCCGGTATGTTACCCCCGTCTAGCCAGAGCCGAATAAATATACTAATAAGCATGCAGACGAGCCCCGTGAATGGTCGAACAAGAAGTTCGGCGAATTCCTTGGCAAAGAATAAAGCTCAAGCAGTGAGGATACCGCTGATATCTCAAAATCGCAGGATTGCCACAAGCTCTCAGACAAGTGTGTCTGATACGACAGCTCCGGAGTCCCCTAGCCGGACTAGACAAACCAAGGGCACTGAGAGGGTTCTGGGCGCTATTCACAATAGCAAGCCTGTATCGACCACTGCAGCGATGCAAAGTATCAGCCTGCCCAAAGCCAATCCTGGCAACCCGCCTTCTGAAGCTTCGCAGCCGCCACCGGCCAGTACGCAAATAGAAAGTCTGGATTCGGGCACGGCACACGGCCTATTTTCTAGCCTTGTGAAATCTATTGCAGATCACAAAAAATTATATGAATTGCTGCCAAAATTTCCTGAGAGACAAGGGAGCGAGCTCATTAAGTGGGCTCTTCTCGAATTGGTTTCTGATGCTCATTCTTACCAGTCCGCTCAGCAACTTATTGACGAGCAAACACGAGAGCTCGACACATATAAAAAGGGCCAGGAATCTCTGGAAGCAGAGCTATCGAAAGCTAGTGGCGAGATCGACACATATAAAAAGGGCCAGGAATCCCTGGAAGCAAAGCTATCGAAAGCTAGGGACGAGATAGCCAAATTAGATCAACAACTCAAGTCAACTCTCTCTCAGAGTTGCAAAGAATGCCGCCGACTGCAGGAGAGAAATACGGCTCTGGAAGAGACGATCAACATTGTAAAACGGCAGCTTCTCTCTGGTCCAGCAGAAAGACGTCCCCCTCCTAGCTCGTCAACGTCTGCCGGGGTGGTATCGGGTTGACAGCAAGCTGAACCAGCTTTTGAACCCATGTTAGGTTAGGTATCTGTATGGTTACATATAAGCGATGGATGTTTGAGTGCTCCGCCAGATCACCCTATACTTAAGCATGTGTGCGAATGGCAACCCTGACTTACCAAGTATTTGCAAATTATATACCGTGGAACTTATATGCACACAGAATTTCATCATAAAGAACTCTTGAAAGTTCCAGAGCATGTCAAGACGGGATAGAAGGTAAAATGTTCACGATGGCAGCAACTTTTGCACTATCATTACCAAAGTATGTAATAAGATGTAAGGAGAGTCCTGAATTTCCCACGCGTGTCATACTTAGTGACGAGATAACTACTGTTCCTCGACCTCCTCCTCACCATACTCCTCACCATACTCCTCATCATCGACTGAGGCTTCCTGGTATTGCTGGTATTCCGACACCAAGTCATTCATGTTGCTTTCCGCTTCCGTAAACTCCATCTCGTCCATACCCTCGCTGGTGTACCAGTGCAAGAATGCCTTGCGACGGAACATGCTAGAGAACTGGTTGCCGATACGCTGGAACAATTCCTGGATGGATGTCGAATTACCAATGAAGGTCGAAGCCATCTTGAGGCCCTTGGGAGGCACGGAGCAGACCGTGGTTTGGATATTGTTCGGGATCCATTCAACGAAATAATGGTTGTTCTTAGTCTGGACGCCACGCATTTGATCTTCGACCTCCTTCGTCGAGACTTTTCCACGGCTGAATCATAGTTAGTCTTTGCAAATCATCAAATGCGGAGGAAACCTACAAGATCGCGGAGCAAGTCAAAAAGCGGCCGTTATGGAAATTAGCAGCAGCCATCATGTTTCGGGGATCAAACATCTGTTGGGTCAATTCAGGCACTGAGACTGCGCGGAATGAATGAGCTCCTCGGCTGGTCAGTGGTGCAAAGCCCACCATGAAGAAATGAAGCCGGGGGAAGGGCACCATGTTCACAGCCAGTTTTCGCAGGTCTGAGTTGAGCTGACCAGGGAAACGAAGACTGACAGTAACACCAGACATGACTGCCGAGACCAGGTGGTTAAGGTCACCATAGGAAGGAGAAGACAGCTTCAGGGTGCGCATGCAGATGTCGTAGAGGGCCTAACTTGATTAGAACACATTGTCACTTATGACAGTAATGACCTCGCACCTCGTTATCGATACAGAACGTCTCGTCGGAATGCTCCACCAGCTGATGAACAGACAATGTGGCGTTGTATGGCTCCACCACCGTATCCGAGACCTTCGGCGAAGGCGCCACAGAGAATGTGGCCATCATGCGATCCGGGAATTCCTCACGGATCTTCGAGATCAAAAGAGTTCCCATACCGGAACCAGTACCACCTCCAAGGGAGTGTGTGATCTGGAATCCTTGCAGACAGTCACAGCTTTCGGCCTCACGACGAACCACATCCACAACAGAATCAACCAACTCAGCACCCTCGGTATAGTGACCCTTTGCCCAGTTGTTTCCCGCGCTTGATTGGCCGAATACAAAGTTGTCCGGTCGGAAAAGCTGTCCAAACGGACCAGCACGGACGGCGTCCATCGTGCCGGGCTCCAAGTCCACGAGAACCGCGCGGGGAACATATTTCGCGTTGCCGACCTAGTGGATTGATGAGCGGCCGTAGTACACACGATTTAGGGGGGATTAGCAACCTCATTGAAATAGACATTCATCCGCTCCAGTTCTTGGTCGTTAGAACCCTGGTACCTGAGACTCAATTAGGAGCAGTCCGTCACGTCATAGAACATGTTACTCACACTCCAGACGCGTCGAGGCCATGTTCGCCGGAGATTATTTGCCTAGAACAATGTCAATATGCGTTCCATCTAGGCCACCCTGCTTGTTGAGCATGTGAAAAGGATGGATCAACAGCGAACTTACCAGAAGGCGGTACCAACTTGGTTACCCTAAAAAAAGAGCGCGACGACTCAGTTATCTTGTATAGTATATTGCTCATGATTTTACTTACACACTGGCCAGTTTGGAGGTGCACCTTGAGGGAGTTAGCATTGTTATGTTGTTCACGTTGGAGATAGAGCGGCGGGGGAAGAGTGGGGAAAAGAAGAGCTCCGTGACTGCTCCAAACAAACTTACGATCTCACGCATTGTGGAGAAGGATGAAGTATTGCGATACAAGAAGGTATTAGGGGGTAAGAAAAAGGGATTGTGAAGGAGAAGATGGGATTAAGATAAGAAAGACGGGGGGAGAGGTGATGTTGGGCAACGAAGAAGCGGCGGGAAGATTTATTGGGAGAAGAAAAACAAAAAGCAGTTAGGGGAAATCGTGATCCGTCAGTCAGGTGTCCGTCAGGCGATTGTAAAGTCGTAAGTAAGCAGTGCGTTTGGTGCTAACGGCATTTTGACACCTTCTTTTTGAGCGAATTCGCCTGGGCCTATGGGTTCATTCGATTCATCCAGCCTTGGGCCCAAAAGTACACTAGTCCCAACTTTGCCTCGAATCCGCTGTTCCTTTTTTTTTTTTTGTTTTTTGTTTTTCTTCCCCCTGGTTTTTTCAGAGGCCATACTCTTGACAACTCAACGAGTCAATCCGGTTCAGAATAGGACGTATAAGCGACAGGAGCAAACAATAACAGAGCAAAATCAATTCGATGTTGATCCGCGGGTACCCGAGCAGTTCTTTAATTTATAGCCACTTTTTCCAATTGACTCCAGGGATTGGTACAAAAGGACAACAACGAATGTATACGGGTGTTGTTCACCGCTCTATTGGTTTTTCTACGTAATTGAGAACGCGTGAGAGAGTTCGACCGGGATGCAACAATCGCAGCACCTTGCGGGTCAGACAATAAAATACCTGGAGGACGTTAGCCCTAGTTGATGGATAAATACCTACGCTAACCCGTCGTGGCTTAACGGTCACCAACCCCCAAGACTGCCAGCAAACAGCACTGAGAAATGAGACCAATCTGAAATCATAGGGATCAGCATGCGTTCTTAAAGATTGGATAGATTTGCAACCTAGATTTAGTAAGGCTAGACCAAAGAGCCTGAAGCACAGCGTACTTCAACCTGAAAACTTCACAAAATACTATATGTGTATGTTCTCAGGAACTCATGACCGTCCCAACTTCGAGAAAGCCTCCTCAAACGCCTCCATCAACGGGAAAGTATGCTCCTCCCTGAAAATAAGCATCGGACGCAGTGCCTTTAACAAGGTGCTGGAATCAGGCCTGTCAAAAGCAAGCTAAGTTCCCTTGCGCTTGCCGCGAAGGTTCTGTATGAACTGTGGATATTTCGTGGTCAGAGTAGCAAGTCCTCTTGGAGAATGTCGCCTACGCGAGCCTGGTAAGGTCAGAACGCTGGATAATACTAAGTGTGATAAAACGTACTGTCTTTTCTACAATATTTTCGCGGGATATCTCATCAATAACTGCATTACACATGATAATGCGTGCAGCGTCACCCATCCACGTAGAAAACCCATCAGCCAGTCGCCTCGTTTAAACACTATGGAACTGAGCTCAGCCTTATGTATTAAAATGCCGTTCAGCTTTATCAGGACGAAGAGAGCTGTCACTGAAGAAGTAGCCCGCAGTCTGTGCCTTCTTTGAGAAAGTCACGAGGCAAAGTCCGCGAGTCTTCGTAATAGCCTACAAACCCTGGAAAATTCCGGCGATGCATTGTTATCACCACCTTCGCTTTGAATCAGCTTATCGAAGATTCCAGCCACAGGGCAGTGCCGGGAACCAGCGATATGCTCAATCTCTTGCAGACAACACTCCTCTTCACGACAGTTCTCCTGCTCGTGATCTTCTAGAGGGTATTTTAGCTGAGCAAAAGAAGCCTGGGGCCACTTGAGGGATGTAATATCAATCTTGCGGACTGACTTGAAGCGAGTAGCAGACAGGCTAGCGAATCCACGGCCGTAGAAGGAGCTTTTGAAGCTAAGGGTAGCCAAATCCGGGGCATAGAAGGTACAGATGGCTCAAGAATGACCGTAATCTTGAGACTTAGCGATATACAATTATGTGCGGAGTGAATGTTTTGCTTGCCCAGATTGAAATCTAGAAAGCACGTGTGTGTAGCTGGCTTTATCTCAAATATGGACCTTGACAGCTTCCCGAGTCCTTCTCCCCATCCGGACCGGGACTTTGCTCCAGTGACTCATGATATAAGTCGTTTTCAAGTAAAGAGACAACGAGTAGCAGCTTGGCACACAAGCAACCGATAACACCAAAGCCGGGGGTCGAGAAGTATTCCCCGCAGTGAAGTCCGGTCGGGTAACTGTACCCGAGCTAAAGGCCTTAGACTATGAACATCCAGACCGTCGCTTATCGTACATATTAAAACCGCCCCCACGAGAAGAACAACACAAAGTCATCTAAAGACGAATATCAATCTATTGTCCTCCCAAGATCGAAAACCTCCAGACAAACCACCATGTCCAAACTGACCCACTACCGCCTTCTCTCCTTCGACGTCTACGGTACCCTAATTGACTGGGAAACCGGCGTGTGGAACGCAATCCAGCCAACGCTAACGGCAAACAAGGCGCAAATAACACGGGCAGACTACCTTGAGCTCTACTCTGAGCTCGAAAAAGCCCAACAAACCAAGACCCCAGATATGCCCTACTCACAACTCCTCTCCACAATCCACCCGCAGATCGCCTCGCGCCTGGGCTTGAACCCACCCACCTCAGAAGAAAGCAAACATTTCGGCGAATCAGTCGGCCAGTGGCCTGCGTTCCCGGATACCGTGGAGGCGTTGAAGCGTCTGTCGAAACACTACAAGCTGGTCGTGCTTTCGAATGTGGACCGGGAGTCGTTCCAGAAGACCAATGCGGGCAGCTTGCAGGGGTTTCCATTTGATTTGATCATCACGGCGCAAGATGTGGGGTCATATAAGCCTAACCTGGCTAACTTTGAGTATATGTTGAAGGCTGTGAAGGGGCAGTTTGGAGTCGAGGCGGAACAGGTGCTTCAGACGGCGCAGAGCCAATTCCATGATCATCATCCTGCGAAGAAGATGGGGCTCAAGTCTTCCTGGATTGAGAGACCGGGGGCTCTGATGGGGAATTTAGAGGATAAGGTTTATGATTGGAAGTTTGATACGCTTGGAGATATGGCTGATGCTGTCGAGAGGGAGTTGTAGACTGCTAACTTGACATTGATTTCCACCAGGGCAAACTTCTTGATGATAAGATCATAATTGAAATGTTAATTCCTTGTCAAGGCCAGTGTCGCGAACGTAGTAAATGTAGTCCATCCTTTGCTATATATAGTATCTACATAGTACGGCCTATGGTATCAGTACAATTGCAACAGGCGCTGTCGGAAAGGCTACGGGAAAGCTAGTTCGGCTAAGTTGGATTGAAGATACTTTTGAGTATACTATACCAGAAATATTAACAAGGATTTCGAACGCGAAGCTGGCCAGAAACCTATGATTAGTGCGATTTCATGTAAATATGTGAAGCTGTTGAGCATACGTAGGTATGTAGTGGGTATGTCTCTACAAAAACCCGAAAACATGCCCTCTTTCTTGCTAGATTGATATAGGCTAAAATCTTGAAAAATTCCAACCTGTTGGGGCGCTGGCGCAACGGTAGCGCGTTGTAAGTACACACTTAACCAAGCAATGTCTTGAACTTATTCTAACAAATTCACAGCGACTCCAGATCGAAAGGTTATCCGTTCAAATCGGGTGTGCCTCAATTCTTTTTTGTCCTTTTTTTTTTTTTTTAATTTCCCCCAGGTCTTTAAAATATGCTACTATAATGGTGAAGATATTGCAGATTGTATAGTCGTTACATTATCCAACACTTTTTGTTCTTGAATTTTGCCGAGAGACACAGTTGTCAGCAATTTATGCCCCGGAAGCCAAGGCTTTGTAAATTTGGCAGAACCGACATGTTAACCGGCAGGATTACGATGTCAGCAGGTATATGGGGAGTTTAGTTTCCAAGAGCTTCAATTTTCGAATAGCCTATCGCAGGACGATGATGGACAAATCAACCGCTTTTATAACGTCCATATCAACAGAGATACATATGCTTACCCCGCTCGAGGTAGCACAAAGAGAGCCAATGCCAACGCATAGCACGGGATATTGTAGATAGAGATAGAGAACAGTAACTCGGACCGAGACCTGGGGTTGATGCCAAAAAAATTGTGGCCAGTCTATAGCCACTCGGGTACGAGCACCCGGCTTGCTTCTCGACCTCTATTCAATCCTTGTGCGAAGTGCCGAGGATAAAACCTACATCCTTGTCCATGGTAGTATAAATTATTCAACTATGAGATCCTGTTTTATCTTTAACTCCCCGCGGTGTCCAGTTTCAAACCCTGATCAGGGATAGAAGAAACCGATTTTGTCTGGATGGACGGCTGCATTGAGACTGTGCCAATGCTCGTTGTTCTGATATTGTGGTTAATCGGTTTCCTCTAAATCACGTGGGAAAAAAGCTCTCGATGCCCTTAGATTGCCTCGTATTTTGTAGCTGAACACCTAGTGAAATGTGTCTCAACTGTTAGTCGTACACATTCAATCGTCTACAAGATTGAGGATAGACTTTGCGGAAGTGGTGGAATCATCCGACGCTAGTCGATTGCAACGATCCCGTTCATGGTATTGTATACAAGAATTCTCCTCAACTGATCCTTTATTTGTCCCAGTGGAAGCCGGCGTAAAATTCCCAGGGTTGTTGGTTCCGGACAAAAATGAAGGGCCCATCTCAGTAGTAACTCTGTGTCACCAGATCTCACTTATCTGACCGTAAGTTCAGTCAATCACGCCTTTGTCACAAGGCACCAACTTAACAGCTCTGGCCTTGTGACTTACATAACCTGAGATTGCCGTGAAAAATTCACACAGAGCAAAGAGTTGGGCCCTCTCGAGCGCCTAGTACTATCCTCATAGGTCGCCGTCATACGGGAGCATCTGGGTTTGGAGGGAACGCCGGTAGTGATAGGTCATCAGGCCAAAGCATGGTCGGCAAGCTTTCACCGAACTGCACCCCTGTTTCTGGGAAAGATGCAAAAGCTCCAAGTTCTTGAGGAAAAGAAGAAAAGAACCCGTCAAAAGATCCGGCTGGCAATTGCGAATTTTCGAGCCCAATAGGTTCAGATTCGTCCCCCACATTGGATGGAGGAGTCTCGGATTGCCATAGCATAGCCCAGCGTCTAAACTGGTTGTATCCGACGCCCGATTCACCAGGGCCTGTGTCTTCATTTTCAGCTCGGCTGTCTAGACGCCGTGCTGCGCGCTCAAGCGCCTCGATAACTGCTATTTCTGAACGAGCCGACTGGAGGCCAATACACATCCGGCGTATCAAACTCATGCCTTGCGTAAGTGCCCCACGTAACCGTTCTGTTCGTGTGTTCAAATTCTGGGCGATAATGGCCAATAGCGCCGCACGGCAGGAGCTAAATTCAGTATATGAAACTCGTGCTACACCGACAGTGTCCTGTAACAATTGGCATAGCTCGACGATCCGGAGAGCGGCTTGAACACAGTCAAAACACAGCTTTGCACCAGCATCTACGGCTGAATCAGAGCGGTCCTCAGCAGAGGCCGATGAGCTTGGTGTGCCAGCAAGAATCAAGGGACGACCCATGTACATGATTATCGTAGCGTATGTCATTTCCAAATGGACATTATAGCGGAAAAGCGGCTTGGAAGGATCAAGGTCACGGCAGTGCACATCTTCGGGCAGTGTGGTCCACCAGCTCCTAAGTTCATCACGCACGTGTAGAAGCTGCTTAAGATAGATTTGATGTAGCTCCACCGGGCACTTTCTCAGCCGGGATCTGGATTTATTAAAGGTAGTCAGCAGAGGGAACGACTTGGCTAGAAGTTAGGTTTCTTACACGATGGGTGCAACCTTCGCAAGATGCTCAGTCAGCTGGAGAGTGGCAGTCATATTAGGTAGATTTGTGGTTCGGCCAGAGGGACGCAGCTCGGGTATGTCTTTAGGCATGTCGCAGTCTATCTCAGCTGGGGAAACGGAGACTGGGCGTCCGTGGAGGATACTGATCCGTCTATATTTGATATACGGTTAGAATAGCGACAATAACGAGAGTTACTGTATTGTTTCTTACCTATCCAGTGCGTATGCAGACCACCAAAGACGGTTCCGCAACTCAATGGTGCGCGCATCTAGACCTTCCTCTCCAAACTGACGATGCATACCATTCTGGATAGCCATCTTTATGGCAAGCCCAAGGTAAGTGTAGGCAAGGCCGGAGGTATCAATCGGCATCGTATAAACTCCGAATAACAAAAACGCCTGGACAGTTTCGACGGAGGCGGTGGTGATAAGATCGGGAATCAGGCGGCATGAGAACCTATAGAGTGCCAGCCCAATAGTATCATCAGGTAGGTGATCTTCGCCGGACATACTCTGCAAGTATGGGGGTCGGCTAGCATGCATGTAAGCGAACTGAGTCCCAGATGCGAACGTCATGAAAAGGGTACAGATCCAGCCGGCATCGTTGATATCTAGGTATCGATCTTCGGTATAGTAGTAGTCTAACTTCTGCCGGAACTCCGTTTCGTCGAAATAGTAATAATTCGTTTGGGTATATTCAAGAAATGTTTCCAACAAAAAATCTGCAACATGTCGCGGCGGGAAATACTTTCTTGCTGAAGCAACAATCGAGCTAGGAGACTGAAGACCAGTTGCACGGAAAGGGTCATGGGAGTCACCCGTCTAGATATAGTTGTCAGCATACATATGAGAATATGGAGTAAACGAGCAGTACCATGCTGTCATCGGGGTCGTTTCCCAGGCTTTGTAATTTTCGACGGATCATCCGTGAGAAATTCCAGTGAGAGAATTCCCCAGAGTAGACTGTACACGGGATGGAGGTAAGATACTCGGCATCTGGAGAGCAAAGCTACGTCCACCATGACTTACTCATCGTACTCGTGGAAAGGGGATGAATGGAATAGAGCTCGCTGGACCCTGGAGCTAGGGTTGAAGGCTGTCTTGAGCTTACTCGGTCCCTCTCCAGAGCGTCCGCCACGAACTGAAGGCTCGATGGCTCAAACGATATGTCGCCCATGAAATGTCGCACTATCCTCTCGAGACATCGTTCCTTATCAGAGTCCCGTTGCGGGGAGGTGCTAGCTCTATAGTAATGTAAGTTGAGACATCAAGCAACTTTCTGACAAACTGTCATACCTTGTGTTGCCATTACTGGCTGGTTGCGCAGGGGCCTGGCTGTATTGACAGTTTCTTTTGTACCGTTGGCATCGCAAGCAAGGCATCCCGCCCTGACCTGGAGCAATTAGCAACTGTAACAAAAAAATAAAAATAAAAATAAAATAAAATAAAATTGGTGTATGGAATTAGGCCCATACATTTCTCTTTATGATATCTGCATGGGTTGCATCTGATATGAAGGTAAATTGTTAGATTTCAGATATAGAGCATTTGTGTCTATTAGTCTTACGCTTGTGCGGCCCTCTTCCGTAAAGCGTCGGGAACCCTCGGTCGCCTCCGGCGGCCGACCTGCTTGCTATTCTGAGGCTCTGTCATCACTTTGATATAGTACTAGCAGTCTGGCCCTGAGATAGGATATCAATGGGGCCCATAAAGATCGCCCAGGGATTAACACTGAGGAGGAGCGCGGAAGAGAAGTTAATAGTTAAGTGGAGTGGTTTTTTGCAGATCCCGCCTGGTTGCCTCATTCGGATGCCGCCGCTTTTATGAGTGCTCCCGGAGTGCTCATCATATCAACAACCCATGTATTCATCAGCCGCTCAACTTTTGCTTCTCATACAAATGCCTAAATGTGGAGGTTGACAGAGACAAGAGCTCATTGGGTGCACCAACTTCAACAACTCTCCCTGCATCCAGCACCACCACAACGTCAAAATCAACAATGGTCTCCAGACGGTGCGCTATGGAGATGACTGTATACCCAGAAAAGCAGCGACGGACGACCTGTCTTATTGTCTCCTCCGTTCTCCGGTCCAGGTGACTTGTTACTTCATCCAGGAGCAGGATGTTGCCAGCCGCCACCCGTCGCGCCAGTGCGCGGGCGAGTGAAAACAGCTGTCGTTGACCGTGTGAGAGAAGCCCATCTCTAAGGACTAGGTCGAGGACTGCTATGTTATCCTCGCCACCAAGGGGTTCCCATAATTCGACCTCCTTGAGGATAGCGACAATCTCATCATCTCCAAGGCGATCAGATGGGTCAATGCTTGCGCGAATAGAGGTGTTCGGCAAGAAATAAGCCTCCTGAGGGACCGCGTTTAATTGAGCTCGAACTTTGGCTCGAGGGACCATGGCGATGTTGATGCCGTCTACCATGACAGAACCACTATGCAAGTCTAACATCCGTAGGAGGACAGAGAAGAGCGATGTCTTGCCACTGTGATGATATGGTCAGTGCCGGCAGGTGAAGAAATAGCGTTACTCACCTCCCACTGCGTCCGCATATTCCGACTCTACTCCCGGCTGGGATCGACAACGAGAGGTTACTAAGGGCGAGTGGACCAGCATCCCTACAGCAACACCGTTAGTATAAGGCACAGACAAATCAGTCCGAATGGGACGGCTTACGAGTACCGTGTCGATGCTCGGATAATTTCCACCTTTCCTTGACGTGGCCAGTTGGTAGGAACCTCCCGGTCCTCATCAGACTTGACTTCAGATGGCGTGATGCTCTCGTATGCCCTGATGCGGACCACCGCGCCAAGTGATGTCTCCAGCAGCGCCCACTGCATGACTAGGAGCTTCACGTTGCCAGCCAAACTGATGAGGTTGACCAATGCAAGTCCGACTAGCCCAGTACTTAGCGAACCTTGCACAGCAATGGCAATACCTGCGAGAATAACGGCTAGTCCGGAAATGACAAGGTCCAAAACGAGTGTCAGCCATCTCTGGGCAGCGTATAGCGTGTAAAAGGGTCGTTGGGATGTCATCAACACCTTTCGCAAGTGTCCTCTATAGGGTGTCTGCCATCCAAAGGCCCGCAGCGCAACGAGCCCATCTAGAGTCTCGGAAAAGTGGGAGAAGAGTGGTGCCTTTGCGGCAATGTCGAGGAAGCGGATTTGGCGGGACGATCGAAGGTAGAAACGCTGTATTAGGTAGAGCACCACAAGGAGGAAGGGTATAGTGACGGCGATATACTCGCCTGAGACACATATAATGACCAGCAGCATGATAGTGTATTCCAAGGCAAGCAACGCATTGAGAAGTGACAGTGGAAGCTCTGTGTCGATGAGTTGAAGATCTTGACTGAATCTGAGCCGTCACTCTTAGCTATGAATAATACCGCGTTTGAGCTCAAGGGCCGTACCTGTTGGTCGTGATGCCAGTATCGACAGACGTCAGGGAGGTAAGAGGTGCACTAGCTACAATTAGTCCGAAGCTTTCGAAAACCCTCTTCTATAATCTAAACCGACTTTTTAGTAACCTTGAGAAGTATGTTGTGGAAGTTAACGGAAGCTTGAGGAAGGAGGACGAGCAGCAGCCATCTGTAAGAGTAAGTTCCCAGCATGTGTCATTTTCCAAAGAAGAAATCTCACCCAGCCGCAACTACAATAAAAATTATCTGCATTAAAGCAATTGTATAGTAGACACCGATATACCTGTAGGTTCTGCTGCTGTTTCCCGGGCTTTTGGCCCAGAGTTGAACCCATATAGCTAATTGTCACGTTCAGCCTAGTTTTCATCACCACTCAGGTTCAAGGGAACAGAGAGATGACTTACGAGGAAATCCATATAAGAAAGTGAATAATGTCATCAGTACGAAGAAGACTAGCATGCCCTTGATACCCATGCGTACGAAGTAGTACTGGAACACACGCCAGTCTCCTTTGCGCTGCTTCGCGTTCAAGGCCTCCACCAGCCTGGCTGATGAGGATATCGCTTCAGAAGAGTCTGTATCCGCGGGAGTTTGAGGCTTATCCTTGCCAGTTGAGTTCTGAACGATTGTTGGTTCCAGTGAAGATGTCGACTCGGTAGCGGTGTCCTGGTTGGAAATGCGCCCCATTTTGTCTAACCAAACAACTCGGTCTGCGAATGTTAGACAGGTGTCTAACGATATCTGAGTTAGCTTGAAGAAGGAAGCAGGGTTTCCAATACGCTTACGACTAGAAGATGTGAGAATGACTGTTCTCTGCTGACGATGTAATAATCCCTTCGGCCCAAGCAATTCATGAAGGATATGGTTCTCGGTGGCCGAGTCTAGTCCGCTTAGCACATCATCGAGGAGAAGCATTGGGGAGGTCGAATAAGCCGCTCTGGCGAGGGACTATAAGCCAAAGAATAGCTTATCAGCAATTGATGCGATGATCCACGCCGGAGATGTGAGAGAACGAACCACTCGCTGTTTCTGACCACCACTGATACTCGACCCGCCACTTCCGAGCATGGTCTCATCGCCCTGCACAAATAGAGAAGCATTGAGACCACAGGCTTCAATCACCTCTTGGTATCGGCGCGAGTCAAAGGGGCTACAATCGATGATATTCTCACGGATTGTAGCACTGCGGATCCACGGCGTTTGTCCACAATATGCAATTCTGGGCACTCTGACCGAAACAGTACCATGTATTTGGACATTCTCGGATAACAAGCCTTGGAGCAACGTGGACTTGCCGCACCCGACAGGCCCAACGATAACTGTCAGTGTGGCTGGCTCGATGGTTAAACTGAGCGGGCCAATTACCGACTCTGCCTGGTCCTCTTTGCCCCATCCGAAAGCAGCATCGACAATATGAACAGCGGCTCCATCTTCCACACTACTCAACTTCTCATTCTCCGATGGCTGATCACTGTCCTCCTCGGCTAGAGATTGGTTGCGTCGCTGTGGCCTATCCGGCGAGACGAGAAACTGTCGAATGCGTTCTATGCATGCAATGGCCGTGAATAGGCCACTCGCCGACTCTGAAAGAAGATTAAGTGGCGCGCCAACGAGAGCAAAAATCGAGAGCACTGCCATGGCTTTTGGCAGGGTCAGTGCAGTGCCCGGCGCAGGGGACGCCAGCGCATACGAAGAGAGGGACATCACGGGTGCCAGAGCGCTGTTGAACCACCCAACTGCAACCATGAGCACTTGCAGTCGACGCCATCGTTTCGATGCGACCACTTCGGCAAGACGGTACTGTTCCAGGGAGGAGACGAGCGTATCGACCATGCCAGCTAGTTTGATGTTCTTCAAGTGCGGAAGCGCGCTTGCTGTCACGGCAATGCGCTTCTGGACAGCTTCTACCCAAGCCTGTTGGCGGCGACCCGACACTTTCCCAACTGCCAGAGCAATAATGACACAGCCTGATGCAATGATGATGGTCGCAATCGTAGGCACTTGAAGCTCCCGATATAGAAGCCAGACCGCAATAGCCACTTCGACCATTGACCCCCATACGTCGTGGAGACGCGCGAGTCCGGCCGAGATCCGCTCGACATCAGTGCTCATCAGTGTTAATGGGGCGCTATTGTCAGCTTGCAGGCGATCCATGGTAAGAGTCTTGTAGTAGATGGTAGATATCATGCGAGTGCGGATCATGGTTACTAGTCGGTAGGAGAGATGCTGATACCGCGCATTAGATATCTGTGAGATACTGTGAGACAAGAGAGCTACGTGCCAATTGGGTCTAGGGAGATATTCACGTACAGCTATACCAACGAAGGCGATACCGACTGCTGCCAATAGACCATACCCTTCATTGCGCAGATTCGGCTTCGACCTCTCATCTAACCAGGTTACCATGCGCCTAATGATGTAGGGTTGGACATACTTGAATCCTATGACTAGAAGTCGTGGGACGGTACCCGCTAGAACTGCCCACTTGAGGTCCTTAACGAGGACCCACAGGAGGCCATGGCGATGTGACCTATGTCTGTCTACAGGTTGTCAGCACTGGGACTTTCCATTAGCATTATGGATAACTTGCCATTATTCCACCTTTCATGAAAGGTGTCATCGTCTAAGAGTGTACCGTCAACCGCTGGCAGGTCATCTATAGACAACTGATGCCCGTTCCCCCGCAATAGAACCGGGTTCAGCCACCAGAACAAGATGCGGGTAAAGATATCGCCAGTGCTTTCGGCTGCGGGATAGTTATCGCGAACACGTAGCAAGTCTGTCTTGTCTCGCGACTCCAACACGATAAGTACCAACTTCAACGCGAGATTGGCCGAATAGATACCAGGTATGGAGCTACCCGAGAGAGCCAGCCACAAGGTTCGTGTTATTGCAATGTCAAAGACAGATGTCATGAAAAGGTAAGCTGAGAGAACAGCGGAGGGTCTGAAGAAGTGACGATGCTCTAGCCATGATAGAAGCCCCGCAAGTACAGAAGATATTAGGTTCAAAATTTGGGATGAGATTGTTACTGATGTTTTGGGGGTTGATGGTAGCGTCCAGAGAACCAGAAGGGCAATGCGCAAAGCAGATAGGACGCCCCAACCACTCTATTTCAAGTCAGCTAGGCCATAGGACCTTATAACGTAGGATGACTTCCCAGCTTCAGGGTCAACAATGTGCCAGCATTTGTGACAATGTCATGGGAGCGCAAATAATCCCACCGGATCAGGGAACAGCATATGAGTAACGACGCTGGGACAATGGTGAATACAACTTCCTCAAAGTAGACAGTGAAGTCAAAGCCTGCGCGACAACCTAGAACCTGAGGTCCGAACGTATCCTCGTTTTGTGCCCAGCACTTTGTGGTCTGCATATTTCGATCCTAACCTAGGATCATTAGCATGATTGCTTGGGTATGTTTCAAACTAGCTTTACCCTTGATATCGTATGAAATGAGAGAAACAATATTGAAAAGACGAGCTCGGTACTTTCTTGTACGCCACTGAATACACTGCAGGAGCCCTACTAGTAGTATCTATAATTGGCGGCTGGAGCGAGAATGTACAAAGAAGAGTCTGAACTAGATGAGGTTACCGGGAGATTTGCATTGATCCAGTGTGAAAAGGAGAGCGCGCGATATGAGTAGGTAGTTGAGTCATACCCGGATAAATTCAGGCCGTATGCCATTGCAGATCATGCTCTGTTCTTTTCTTCATTTGCTCAACTTGGGGTAATCTGATGCCATACCCTTCCCCGCGCCACCGGTACCGAGTCGTGAGTCAGACAAGGCTGGTGGCATCACCTTTTCCCCTGTACGGCGTGCTAATGCCGCGCAATCAATGCTGGACTGAAATCACCAGGGTATATATGATCAGCTATACTAGTGTATAAGTGTGAGGACAGTATGTGAGTGCTCCGTGTTCACTTGCTCAGTCGGTATACACTGCAGCTCCGGTCACTCCCGGATTGCTTTGGTTTAACTCGGTGAGTAATCCCAGAGCAATTCTCATCTCCTCTCTATTATTACTCAGTTAATCAAAAGCGGTTCTCTGAACTATATATAGACTTAACTGATCCAGTCGTATTATCTGAGAGTATTACAAAGAGGTAAAAACAAGCCAATAAGACATCCTGTCTACGCCATGAAACTCCCAGGATATACAAACAGTCTATTACGCTCAACTCCAAAACAGTCAAAGCGAGGCATCACAAAGCCAGTATTTCAACATGAGCACACATCCCTCCAAAACCTCAAGCTCCTCGACAGTGTCATCAAGGAAACTCAAAGACTCAAACCAATCGGTATCAGTACGTGCAACATCCTTCCATTACCATTATGATGATTTCCCTTCCCAGATTATTAGCCTATGATTCTCATACCTATCTAAAAGCCATCATGAGGCGCATCGCAACAGAGACTGTACAAAGATAACCATTCTGGACTATGAAACAACCAGGTAACGAGCAAAAACAGGGATAGTCATGGGACAGTAGGAAAATGTTGACGGCGAATACTTTGCTCAATAAATATTCTTTTGCAGCGGTGTGACAGTGGATTATGAAGGCAGACTAGTAACTATTCATGGATCCTGATCCTGCGGGCATGCGAGCCGGCAGACCTTCCCTCTAGATGTACAGCGTACCATGGGTTAGCGTCGATATCACTTCGCAATGATACATTTTGAAAGTACGGAGTACTCTGTACTGGATGCGGACATCACTGTAACTCCAGCCCTGTTGGAAAAGCTATGCCCGGTCTTATAGTTAACTGGAATTACCTATAGTATTGACTAGTCCGAGATAGGTTTAGTGGTGTATTCCAAAGAACAATTCTTGTTGGGTCTACCGACTTTCTCATCAGCCCAAACTCCCTTCTATTCCGTGGTAGATGTTCTAGAAGCCGGTCATTGAAATAGAAGCCCAGCGGAACAGGTAGGTGTGCGTGTTCCTTGCAGGCAAATTTGCACCTACAAAGTGGAACCAATGGACCCACAGAAAGCTTGGTAGATGATCAACAGATCAGATATGCATTACAAGCAGCACCAAAATCTAAATACAGAATAAAAGCTGGGTATATTATTCGTGCCGGGCATCGTTTCTGGCTTTCCAGAAATCAACCCGACCAGAGACAAAAAATAACCGAGTTTGGTATCATCAACGCAGAAAACTGGAGTCAGGCTCACGCCTTGTTCGTGCTGCCGTTTTCAGAGCTATCCTTTTCCAACTCCTTGTGAGCGTGGCTCAGCACACTAGCCCGGCGCACAGCATCATCCTCCACGTCGTCCAGCGTATGCAGGAGCTCACCATTCTTGCCATACATGTGAGGTTCGTTATTCGCAACACGCACGACCGAGAATATGCTTTTCGTCTTTCGGAAGATGCGGTCCATTTCTTCTAGCGACCGACGAGTTGTCTCCGGATAGAAGAAGAATACAACCGGGACGATGAATGCGTTGCTGTGGTTGGTCAGTACAAGGAATCTGGCTGCAGAGACTGCAGGGAAAACTTACATAACGGCGAAAATGATGTAGGTTTGGTAGTCAATGTTATCGAAAGCAACAGGGGTGATCATCACGACGAGGAAGTTAAAGATCCAGTTCGACGATGTCGCCAGGGCGTTAGCTGGAGCACGAATCTTCAAAGGTACAATCTCGGCGGGATACAACCAGGTCATTCCCAGCCAGCCGATGGCAAAGAAGGTGTTGAACACGAAGAGGAATACAATACAGGCGATGTTGGCTTGCGGGGTTTTGAGACTAGCGGTGATGGCGAGGATCATCATCGAGATCGACATGCCCGCGGCGCCGAAAAGCATCAGCGTCCGGCGACCGAACTTTTCGATCGTGAACACCGCAATCCAAGAGGCAATGAAATACTCGGTTCCGTTGCACGCCGCAATCAGTCGAGAGTTGATCAGGGTCATACCCATCTGCTCTTCCAACACAACCGGGATATAGTATGTAATCAGATTGATGCCGGAAATCTGTTGGAACATCTGGTTGACATAAGCCAACACGGTGCGGTGGAGATGACGGTCTTCGTCCATGGTGAACATATCCTTGAACGAGCCCTTAGCCATCTCCAACACGGTTGCCTTGATAGCTGTGAACTCGGTCTGCAAAAAGGTCGGATCGGTTCCATCGCCCAACAAAGCCCCCAGGACTTCTTTGGCTTCATCCTCCCTGCCCTTCAGCACAAGCCAGCGGGGAGATTCGGGAAGGAACATGACAAAAGCCAGGATGATGGCGGCGAAGAAGATCTGGAATGCCAGTGGGAAACGCCAGGCGACCTCACTGGGGTCGGCAAAGAGCAAACCAAAATCGATCCAGTAACTAATAGTAATACCACAGGTAATCATGGCGCCCTCGATCATGACCAATTTACCACGATGGTTGGATTTACAGCACTCAGACTGCCAGGTGGGCACGGTGGATGTATTCATGCCATTTCCTAGCAATACCATATTAGCTGAGAGTTTTTTCTTTCTTTTTCCCCTGGCGCGTTTTGCTACTTACCGAACCCAGTCACCAGACGGCCAACAATCAGCTGGGGCAGCTGGTACGCGGTACACTGTAGCAGAGCTCCAATGACCATGATGAAAGAACCAAGGAAGATAGTTTTACGTCGACCAAGCCAGTTTCCAATCCAGATTGTCGGGATCGACCCCGCAAAACATCCTAAGTTGTACGCAGCGACAACAATACCTGCGGTCCAGTTCATCAGCCTTCGGCGGTCTCCTATCACAGGTAGTGAATAAGGTGCCACTTACCTTGCCGAGTAGACTGGGTACTCTGTTCGGCCTGGGTGAGACTGTCAAAGTACGCGCCACTGGTAGAAATGGTGGGGAAATATTTGATGAAGGACTGAAGGGTCAAAAGACCACCGGTGACACCCTGATCGTAACCGAATAGTAGAAAGTCCATACCGGCGATAACACCGATGGCGATTTGCAGGGCATTGCCCTGAAGGCCCAAGTACCTACGTCCCATCTTGGAAGCTCTTGCGGCTGTGCTCTCCTAATAGGTTTGACTAAATTTCCGAACGGGACGAGACTGCTTCAGGTGAGCGTGGAGAGAGATGGCAGTCTCATGCGGTTGTGAAGGGAGACCTAAGGCGAAAGAGAAGGAAGAAAATGATGCATTAACACAGGAGGGGATCGGAATAAAAAAGAAGAAGGGGAAGATCAGCAAGATGGTGACAACAGGGGAATGAACGGGATATAAAAGCCAGGCAATGAACTGGGGAAGGCACGGCTTCTGGGACTAAATAATCTAAATAATAATAAATTCAATTAAAATAAATAAATGAATGAAAAAAAGAATTAAATGTTAATTAGAATTTAGAGTTCCACGCATCAGACGGTAGCTGCACATACATACATTCAATGAGACTTACCAACACTAGACTTTGCCCAAAAACAGACAGGGAACGAGGGGGTCGCATGGCCTCTGACTAAGAAAAGGACATGTTCCTTGGGGTCAACTTGGTCAAGGTTGCATGTTTTAGTATCGCAAACGATCAAAGAGTCCTTGCAATTCGACCCATGATTGGACTACCGGGATTGATACAGAGGAGTGATGGGAGAGAATTCTCCACCCAGGTGCCAATCTCTCTCTGGATCGAGGTAGTAGTACCAATTTCCCCGTCTTTCTCTCCAGGCTTTAGAATCTTGCTCTCTCCATCCTTCACACCACATTTCCATTGGCTGAGCCGGAAGCTCCAAAGGGGAAGGGAACTGGATCTGACTCCCCACATACTACTCCCAGGCACCTTGATGGGCCCCAGCGTCGGGTTTTTCTCTCACACCATCACTTTCATGTTGGAGGCAGAGTCCTCTGGAGTATGACGATGGTGGTCGTCGGGCGACACTCGACACAAAAGTTGATCGGCGGGGGCTAAATGGGTAAGCGAATGAAGTGAGTGAACAGCAACGCGGAGAGGGAAAAAAACGACGCATTTGCTACTCTGCTTTTTTGCTGCTCCACTCCGCCCAATGCCGTCATGGCGTTGGCCTTGCGGGTTGGCGTCCGCTTTGCTATCTAACCTGTTCTGGACAACCCGACGGGACGGTCTCTTTCCTGTTTCAATTTTCCTTTTTTCTTTTTGATTATTACTTTCGGGTTCTCCGTGCACGAAATATCCAACATCGAGTACTTTCTTTGCGTCTTCCATGGATAAAAATAAGGCTCCGTTCAATGGTTATACGAGGGCACAATTTTCCGGTCATCGTACATACGTAGCTAGTGAAAGATCGCCACTAGATTCCCTTTCTTATCTTTTTACCTTTCGTCCTATTTACGCGGTGCGAGGGGTTGGATCCCGTCTCCGATTCGGGAACCTTGCCTGATGCGCATCGTATCAACCGCTTTTGAT